GTTCAAATGGACTAATGATGTTAAGTAAATCGAGACGAGATAAACATCGTTATTCAATTTACTCCTTTTTAACTATCAACATAAATCCATCGCTGAGATTAGTTTACAACCGAGAATATATAAATGGGAAACAAGCAGTAACTTATCTGATAGCATTATTAAAATAGTAGCGGCTCGATGACGAAATACCATCGGTAAAGCCAATAGAGATAAGGGCCGTAATAATATTCAGCGTTTTATTAACCCGGCCCCTCAGCCTTTGGTCTCAAGTATTTAAAGTGAGCTACTCCTTGCTTTGTATTATATGTAGCGTGCGTGATAGCTATCAGAGTCCGAGCAATTGCCTTGTTTGTCGTGCAGAGCAACGCAGGACCATTACTTACAACGCTATCTTTACATTGGATGAGACAAAATGAACCGTGTTACATACATTCTCTCGTTTCGGATATATTACGAGGACACAAAACATCTCCACATAGATGATTCGGTCTTCTTCGTATAATGTATTTCTCCTCTTATGGTTTTAGTTTCAAATTCAGTATGTCACAATGCCTTTCCACTGTTTAATCTATCCACAGCGTTGTGTGATTTATAATAGTAATAATTCCACTTTAAAGTGTATGAGTATAAGGTAATGTTTACGGACGTGCGTACCTCATAAAGGACATGAAGTCGTTTTCGTCATGGCTTTGCGTCCGTGAATAAACAGACCTATGTATTTGTGACATCTGATGAAAGATTACAATGTTTACCCGCCTACCGCACTCGGATCACAGTATGGAATGTTGTAAATGGTTATGACTGCCTCTCACAGATGTTGAGACATTTAATACAAATCATATACTTCACTAAAATCTGTTTGTATTTTGAACTGACTGCTACAAATGGGCTAACACCTCATCTCTGAATCTCATGTGTATAAAGATATCAGATCTTATTATTTAATAACAATGTTTACCTACATCGAGTTCACCGACCCCGGCAAGGACTTGTGTCAAGTGATATTTTTGTTCTATACATACGCGGTCATCATTCGCATTGATGCACATTTTCAAGTACGATGCACTAACTCGGTGGAATGAGAGCACGTGATGGGAATACAAGAACGGCTATCTGTCGGCCAGATATTATCTGAACATAAACCTTGCTTGAATCGAGCCACTCCCCCGTGAACAAATTGAATTGTACACTCGCATTGAGATAATCTCATGTATCAACAAGTCGAATTACCGTATGGTGATCACGGATATATTGTGCCATATGGCATTACTTTATACAGTTAGTTAGTTAGTCTGAATAACATTATAAAACTGATCTTAAATAGATCTGTGTTCAATTTATTTTACGTTCTATCCTCTTGTCAAGCCGGTGTCTGCGAATAGCCTGCAGCGTGTATTGATCTTAAACCTTGATAGATTCCTGTTCATTTAAATTACTTCCAATTTAACTGAACGAAGTAATTGTTACAAATGTGAAGATGTTTTTGTAGCGTAGTTTTTCCCGAGTGTAAACATTTAGTGTGAATAAAATTTTCCTGGTAATTCATACATCGAAGTTCACAGAGACCGCTCAGAGGCGAGCACGTTTTTTGTTCGGTAAATAAAGTAACGTTTATTATCATTATGTCCTTGGCAGTGAACGGTGGCACGGGGGTCTAGCGCGTGCATGTATCCATTATATAAAATAATAGTACAGACATGAAATTACCATTGACACTTCGTTTGTGAAATCCTTGATTAGTTAATAGTTTTAGTACTTAGAATCTTTTTTATATAGAGATTTCATAAAAGCTTGTTTTTTTATACATATTGTTTAACAAAATAATGCTCAGTTTGTAATATTACTTATTTTGGATATTTATTTGTAATTAGATTTTCGCTTATAAAACTAGTGTCTGCCGTCAACTGTGTTTGCGTAATCGAAAATTAGTAAGGAAATTTTAATTTTTATAGGTTTTTCAACATATTATCAGTGAAAGTAGAAATTTTGAATAAGTTTGAAAAGTAGTGAGTATAATAATTTTATCGGGTAGTTAAGTTTTTTTTTAGTTTTCGTATGAAACTCATTTAACGACAGCCCTTAGGGAGAATAGCGTCAACATTTTTTATTGAAAATCGTTGCTCGTGATAGTAAAGCCATTTTGAAAAATACGTTATCTTACACTTATATTATAAGAATTTAAAATATCAAAACGACCTGTAGTTACTGAAATTATTGCGTTCAAACAAACAAAACAAGGAGTTCAGACAAAAGGAAAAAAAATTTTTTGAACATACTCATATCACTAACATATATCAAAGTATTTCTGATATCCATTTTGTAATCAAAACAAGTGAGTCCCTGTCTGTGATTGGATATAAACTTTTATGGCTTTAGATCACGATAAAACTATTTACATTATACATAGAAAGAGAATTCTTAATGTACGTTTTTCAAATAGCTTCACAATCGTCTGCGTTGATAGAGCAGCCCAAAGGCGACTCCCGCTGAGCTCACCGGAGCGAAGCACCCAACACTTGCCGCAAATAACTCGACTGTGCCACTCCGATGATGACGTCATCTCTGTAATTACAGTGAAATTTCGTGACTGTCACGCAACGCTGACTAATATGTATTTGATGATAATGAAATACTAGCTACGTGCCAGAAACGGAAGGACGAATAATTATTGACGCAGACGGACGGATACGCCTCAAAGGAATTGACAGAATTATGCCTTAAAAGTTCTGTAATAAAAAATTGTTTACCATCAGCGCTGAACAAAAACTTGTAACTATTTGTCTCAATGTCGCCTACATGGTTCTTGTGATTATTATCTTAGTCTGTTCTTGGGTAAAATATTATTATTGATTGCACCAATGCTATAATTTTTAGGATTCATGTTACGCAATGCAAGCGATGTTGATAGGTTTCCGTTTTATAGGACGTTCTAAACTGAATGTCCATTTGGGTCAATTGCATCAATCACAGGCGTATTGTAACTGCCGGCCGCTCGTATAAGTATTCGCAGAACCCATGGCATTCTTATTTCGATTTGATGGAAATTACGATATAACGTGTACGTATAAGTCACACGGTGACCTCTCCCCGTCCTTTGTGAAAACATCGAGTTAAAAAAGGATAGCCGTAATTTAAAACAGAAAATTTACGCTCTCGTAAAATCGCTTACGCAATTTACAAGTGCCATAAAACTGAGTTTCGTAAGTCTTTGGGTTTTGCTATATTTAGTTTTATTATTACGCCATCGATCTGTATATTTGTATATTTTTGTACCCTAAGAACCCGAATGCGAAATGTGAAGGCTCTCAATTTGATTGTACTGTTTATGTTTTTCGCGTGAAAGGAAGATTATTAAATGATTTTGTTAATTATATTGACACATATCTTAAGTAAATTAAAGTTTGTATGTTAAAAAAATTAAAACATAATTAATGTCAGTTATTATTTTAATATTCTATATGTTTCGGTGTTACTCTAACCAATATTTTTTTATCATAGAATTAAATCGGTAAGTAAAAAACATACTTGCTATGAAAAAACATATATTTGTCATCAAATAAGTGTTTTTTTGACATTATATAAAAAACCTTATCATTAAAGATTCAATTATAGTTTTGAACTTTTTGTTCTGTATGAATATAAAATGTTTTTAAACAGTTTGATGAAACATAATGTAAGTAAGTACAGTAAACATCACTGATCTGCGAACGTTTAATTCATGTTATAAATTGTATATGATTACCGAATTACATCATACTTTATGAAAATAACATGCTTTAGCGAGTCGATGTTTTTGTGATAACATCTCCGGGGTCAACGTACTATGGACGATACAACGAATTAAAATGTTTAACTCAAAACACCTTGATTTAGATAACATTTGAAACTTAATTAGTTATATATTATATACGGAACCAAAAACTTTATTTATTATAAGATTTAAGACTCTTCTTTGAAGCTTCTACGTTGTTTACAAAGAAAACTTAAAGCTAAACTTATTTTCAGTTACATTATTAAAAATTAGTCATTTAGACATAACACTTTATACTAGGTTTAATTATTTAACGAATTATCAACGTCCAGTCATTGACCTCAAAGAATTGATAGGAATGTTTTCAAACTATTATGATTTCTTAACATATTTACAAATTGTCTTAAATTAAAGAAACATTTTATGATATCTTTATTATAAATTTTTATACGATTCTTCAAATTGACACTTACGTACAGTATCTAAGTATATTATGTTGTGAGATTTAAATTCAATACGCGCAGTATTGGTATTGTCTAAAGACAATACCAAAATGGTAATGGATGCATTTGCTTCATAAAAACGATCAGATTATTTGTTGACACGCTAAAATAGTCATTGCACGGAGGAGCTCCGGCGTATTTAATGAGATTGTCACTGAGACGGCTGTGTCTCTTGTGATTTATTTCTAATTGTTTATAAAGATATATCTTATGTTATAAATCTAAAGAGTTGAAAGAGTCTGATTCCCACCGTTATAATGTCCTGTCGAATAATATTAAGATTCTATTAAAAGGGTGAACACAATTATATTGTAATATTATTGCTTTAAAAGGTGATGCAACAACGGAACGGGTTTTAACTCTCGATCGGCTCCTCGGCGTCTGGCGAACATATTTTAATGGTTCGTTTCATTGTATTGATATTATACCGCTGTAGCTTCCTTACAATACATCAGTCATATAAACGACAATAAAATCTTTAAATAAATCATCTATTTACTCGTCAACTTATCATCGCCGTGTTATTTATTACAAAAATGTATTTGCCTACGTTAATTTTTTTGTAATCGTGAAGTGAAGACCGTTCGTTTGCCTTACGTAATGTGATTTATAGTGAAAAAATGTTCAAGTAAATATCCCGTCCCATGCTATAATTGATAAAATCAACTCGAAACTCATCAGTGGATCCTGTTCAAACAGATTGGCTCTCGGATAAAACATGCTTCTGTTCAACGAATGACGTCTCCATGACAAAACATTTGTTCTCACGGCAGCTCTCTAGAGGAGAGGTGAAAGCGTTATCTTTGGTATCGGAGCGCGAACAATGCGAAGAGCATGCCGGTGCCTATCAAGACAGTACCATCTAGTGTTCATACGACTTTCACTGAACTCTTGTCTTGTCTATAACACCTTGTTGGAGATCGTCTTATTAGCGTCGAAAGTATCCAAAGAGAATTTCACATCGCAAAATGAAAAGACATCGGCATTGTTTACAATACTTCCACACGATCAATATTGAAAGGGTATTTTTAAGATTTGATGTTCAATAATACATTTAAATAGATTTATTGTGTTTGAAGTTATGTTAGGAGGACTCTGGCCGTGTATGTTAAGATTGTTGTGATTTAGTGCAGGGCTTAACCCACGGGCCTAATTACAAAGTGAAATAAGCTGTCCTCCGCGCCGCCTCTGAGACAAACTCAACGCTCTAAGAGTACACACCTATTGAAAGATAACATGACTGTCGATATTAAAATAATCATTACAACAATCCACAAAGTACATAAGTATATAATATTACAGTGAAGAAGACATTTTTACGTATGTTGTCAATATATTTTTTTAAGAAAAAAATAAGCTCCTAATTAAATAAACAAGTTTTCTAGAGGGCATTCATCTTTAATATTATTACCGGACGTAAAGTCCGTGCGAGCAATAATTTTAACAACAAATTTTATCTAAATGCACCTTTACAGTATTCAAATCAGTATCGACATTGTGAACATAGTCCGTTATACGCCCACAACAATGTACATTACTGATGATAGACTACGAAGGATCTAACAACCGGGAATTCATCACAGATTTTATCTTAATTATACGATTTAATGTCGTTCAAAAAACTATAACTATAAACTCAGTTATACTTAAGTTTTTTATTATAATATATATGTACTTTATTAACTTTCGTTTAACTTCCTAGTTCTGCCAGACGCTAAGAGTTTTATTAAGATGAATTCTCCGGCGTTCTATTTCAAGTAAGTAATTTAAAGCTCAATATAAACTCAAGCGGTATTTCTGTGAGAAAATCTCTATTTTGACATCTTTCTCGACCATCAGTTTCTGTGGGAATCGACATCTGCTAGTTGCGTTCCTCTACTGTGACATTCCATTCGACAGTTTACTTTATACAACATTTTCATTCAGCTAAGTGAGTTTTCTTTGTGTCAAATTACGATAACACATACTATAAATATAACGTACAAATATAGTAGAGATTCTATCAAATAAAACAATATTATTTATTGTACAGGAAATGGTCGATTGTGCCTCGTTGATTTTTTCTGATAAATACTGTTTTTTCTTTAGTTTGCGAACTCCCAATCTTAATAAAAATAAAAATAAATTAATGTTATCATGAAATATTATGACTAAATACAGCTGTTACTTTTACAATATTAACCTTTAGTGTATAAATACGTGATACGAAAGCTAAGTGAGTTCGTACCTCTATCATAGATAATTGTTTAAATAAACATGAAGTTTAAAAGAAAATGAGAATTTGTATACATTAGAAGGATGTAAAGCTATATTTTTACATAAAATACATTAAAAAAACAAAGACATTAGAAGTTACATATATTTGAGTATTAAACTTATAATTATTGCTAATGAATGGAATCACCTCATCTGTATTCCAGTGTAGTGTAAAAAAATCAACAAGAGCACGTTATTAACGTATGCTATTTTAACCCTTTCACAAAATCTGAAGGACGAATTAGATGTGGCCCAGTAATGTTTAATTCCAGTTGTGATCGGTAAATTATTGTCAAATATTGATCGAGTACGGTGTTTATCTAAGTTTATATATTTATACTTAAGTTTTATATAACACGAGTCATATGAATTACAAAAAAATCTATGACGTAAAATTATATTTATTATTATTTATTTAATTTTAATTAACTGAATTTAAAAAATGCTGGTCATTGCTAGAGTCATTAAGATTATATTAAAAGCATATTTCTTAAAACATTTTTTTTTTTAATAAATCATATAAAATAAAAATCAATTTTCATTTCTACGAATTATCACTACAAATTCGTCTTAGCAACACCACTCGTTTAAAAGCATAACTCGACTTTCGAGCGTGTACAAAAAAATTCATTTACGATCCGAAGTTTGAGAAAAAAAAGCATCAGTTGTTATAAAATCGTGAAACGTGCGTTTATATTTCGCAGGAGTTAATTTGCAATCAATCTCACCAGCAATGATCTGGATGATACATTTTTAACAAAAACTTGTTTAATCTCAGTCCAAATCGCCGGCTCTGAGATCGTTGATTGTATGAAAAAAAACTATATATAAATTATTAATAAGTTATTGATATAAAATGACTGTGAAATTAATAAAAGATCTACGAATGTATCACGGCGAGATTTAAATTTCTCATCTCGATTGTAACGGATCATAATAGTAACATTGGCACAAAAAAAATTATTAAATCTTGTTAGAATATAAAATGAAGTAGCTATTAAACAGGAGATTGTTAGTTCGTTAATGTATTTTTATTTGAAAATTTGAAATAATGTACACTTCTATTTAAAGACGGTTACATACTTACATATATGTATATATATTTATATATATAAATATTTCTGACGACCTTAATATCTACATACAACGGTATATAATAAATTTTCCAATTTTCTAAATGTTTGAAAATAAAATAAATTTAAGTATTTTACCGAGTAGTGTCGAGACGTGTGAGATTTGAAACATACATATGTTAGAGTGGTTCTGTTAAAATATATCTCTTCGGGGGCTCGTTTATTATTTATTGGTCATAAGTCATATTTAATTTTAATGACAATCAGTTGGAAAACTAATGTCGTATATATGTAAGTCTTTACTATTATTATTGAATTATAATTAAATAGTGACTTGTCTGTTCCAGTAACTGCCACACTACCACCACAGAGGCCTTGGATTCCACTTACGAGACCCAACAGGACTCGTCCAACATGTGAGTATAGTAGAAATTCTTCAATTACAACAATTATATATGCTTTTTTAGGATTCCGTAGCCAAAGAGTAAGACGGAATGACTAAGAATCCCCTGTCCTTCCGTTTGTCTCCACTATAGCAACAAATGCTAAGAATGATAAAATAAATTATTTAAATGAACTTTTATGTAATGTTAAATTTTTTGCTCGTTTTCACGAATAAATCTACCGAACCCTCCGTGTAAACTCCGACTCGAGCTTGACTTTTTTTTTGTACAAACGTCAGTATTGCGTTTGGTTTCATTAATAACAGCTGCTATGCAAATTAAACTATTAAAATTCCTTTCCATCTGTTTAATAACCAATGAAACGAGTCGGTATTATTGAAAAGTGTTAATAGAATAAATTGAAACAAGTCTCGCAATTTGATTGTATACATGTGTGTAGGCGCGGTGTGCGCCGTGTGTCGTTAATAAGGGACGGCCATGACATGATCACATTGCACGATCATGCATGTCCTGGGAGTTGCATGCTCATGCATGGGCGGCATGAGCATCATAACTCGCTGCATGATTGCAATAATTCAGATTCGATATACCGTCCTGTTCCTCCGTAGTTCGCCGGTTTAGACATATTTATTGTCATTGTTATATGAAAGCTATATAAATATCGCTATCGAATGCGTTTTATTAGTGATAGCAATTCGTTTCCTGGTATAGAATATTAATTATGCTTAACACAAGCCTGTAGAGAGTAGAGACTACAAACGAAGCGTTTCGCGTTTTTCATTGAGTTACCTACGTTAATACTATAATGTGTGAAGATTTATGAATGAAAAACTGTTAAAACTACGTATATTGTGACGATGCAAACTTGAACTAAGCATACAGTTATTATATGTAAATCATTTCAATATATCCGCGTCATGTGTCTTTTATTTATTTATTTATTTATTTAACACACTTCTAGTACAGAACCGACCGTTAAAAGAGCGTCCCGGTCATAAGTGCGTCAGTTGTTTGTGCCGTCAATTGACAATACATCCCAGTATATATTAAAAAACAAACGAAAATAAACTCTAAAATTAATATACAAGAGCTGCAAATGTATAATCCATGTATGACTATAAAAAACTAAAATAATAATAGCCTTATCACCTTTTATTTGACTGTTTGTAATTATAAAACATGCTTGTATATTATGTGAGGTGATTATTATACTTTTTTCTTCGTTTTATAATATTTCGTCATACATAATTTTCTTTTTATATGAACTCGGTTTTTTATTTCGGTTTTCATATTAATATAAGCTACAATTAAAGAAAAACTGATGGAAATGTTGATTAAAAATTAAAATAAGGTGATTGTAAACATTTATCACTGTTTCTTAGTGACTAAGCTATTACGCCGACAAGTTCATATATCTCAAGTACAATATTTAATTTTTTAACTGTTAATGCTTACACATGTGAATGAGGCTAAAACTAACAAGAATTTCTTAATGTAGTCTTTTCCTAATTTATATGCCATAGTTATTTTAATTTATTTCCAACTTGTAGGCATTTTACGATCGTCGAACCGCTATTCTATAATTATTCAAAGTTTAACTAGAACGAAAAAATTGTTGTTGTTAAGTAAAATAAAATATGTTACCATCAAAATAAAACACATTATTTATTTATATATTATTATTTATATGTGAATGAAATGACAACAAATCAAAACTGATGTAAATTAATCAATTTTTATGTTAGTATTGTAATTTAATATAACAAAAAGCAAATAAAATTTTACAATTATGCAAATGAAAACGTTAATTATGCAAATCGCTATATAAATTCTGTATCAAAATCTGTTACAAGGACAGAGAATGTAAGAAGGTCGACACTAGACACGTTCCCTAACTATGAACATTTGATAATACGAAACTAAATAAACCTCAGGGATATTAACTTACATGAAAATAACAATCATTTGGCAAATTCATTATTATTGTCTCTTTATAATTTAACTAGTTTTTTCTCTCGACTTCGTCTGCGTTATTTTAGAATTAGAAATGAATAATCGGACGAACTCTGTTCCTTCTTAAAGGCAATAAGTAAGAATATTTTGGATTTCATCAACTTATTTTTTTTTTCTTCTTCGATAAGATGAAAAGTATATGTTCTTTCCATACTTCTAAGCTATCTATCTACCCACCAATTTTAAACCAAACCCGTACAACCGTTCTATATATAAGACATGTATTTAAAACGAATTTCTTTTATATATAAAGATAAGTTGTTTTTGTTTAATTAATTCGTATAGCTTCATTAGCAGTAAGGTTTGATATCTCGAAGTAGCCCACGGTCAAGTCTAGGATAGAGGAAATGAAACAATGCACAATGAGGTATTGGTTGGTGTCTACTGACCTCGCAGCCATCGGCGACCCCGTGATCGACATACCTTACACGACAAACCGTTCTTTTGTTTATTTTTTGTATATATTTTTTTATCCTATGTTAGGCCTTGTTACCTTAATCACTATTTCTCGTTAAAATAGCCTAGTATAAAAGAGTTGTATTCGCTTTTTTTAAATTTTTAGTCGATTAATGTTGGCTTCACTAGCGCGACGCTCTGAGTTTTTCTTTTTGGTTTTCAAATTATGAAAATTGATGTGCTTCCACTTTTTTCGAATTATTATTTTTATTTGTTACTTTTCTGAATCGAAGAAGTTTTTTGAGTATATTATTAAGAATATATCTGTGTCTAAGTTTTCTAACGAGTTTCCCGAATAAAAACTTTACAATCCTATCAGTATCAAACTAAGCGTTAATTACTAAGCGTTATAGTAACAGAATGTTCTGTAATTGAAATCATATATCAAATACAACATTGCGAAATAGACAAAGTACTCGATGCGTGTTCGAAGGCATTGTATAAATGGCATCCAACATATGACTCTACGCCTCCTTCTATTATATTCATATGAGGTGTACTGGCTTATTTGTAGTGTTGTTATTGTTACGTCCTAAATATTGTCATAAGTACATTATAACATACATATTACATGCTGATATTAATGCGTTGCTTGAAGACAAAGAAACTCCCTCCCTTCATTATATAAAACACCTAGTTTTACCTGAAAATCATATCGGATAACTTAAGTAGATTTAATTTTCAAATACTCTTTGCCTATGACATTTCAGTATTGATTAAGACGTCATATAAATGCAAATTTCTTGGAATATATGAAATGCGGTTCAACAAATGTAGTTTCCCATAAAACTTTGTCCACGTGTCGTATGTAGTCGTTGCATTTGATGTACATGAAATGCGGCTGTTTGAATAAATTATGGAAGCATATGAACGAAGTATAGAAAGGCCTATTCAGTGGATATGCGATATATACTATTAATATTAAAGTTGTTTTTATGTGTTATAGTAGAGGAATTAAATATGAGACACTTTATGATCAACATTTTTCAAATTCAGCGGAGTTAAAGCGCTTTTGCGCGTGTATCAACTACTAATGCGTTCTTTTCTATTCGAAATCAAATAAAGATTTCTTAGATTTTATTGAAAAGTATTGAACGTACGTACCTATTATGATATATCAGATCAAAAATATTTAAATTTAAACTACCTTACATTATCCAGTAATAAGTCTCCTTTAATATAACATATTATTATTCATATAACATATACAATAAATTTGTCAGTGGGTATGAATAAAACAGATGCTATTTTATTGTTGACCTTCCATTAACATTGCTTTTTTGTTACCGTGGAGCCTGATTGATTATGGCAAAAACGCGTTACAGTCGCGTTTAAATTACACCGTATTATAGGCTACGGCTCAATTAGTGACCAAGAAAATAGCATGATACGGCTCTAATGGCTGAAGGTGAAATCAATAGAGCAGCGGTCAGTGACGACTGTCAGCCGTCCAACACCCCAGCTCCCACTAACTACGTCTTGTTAGCACCTATTGAGTCTTCTTACGTCACACATCACACCGAACCGAGAACACTATTTAATGAGTCCTTTGGCTTGCCAATCCCAACGGAGACCATCCGTTCTCGAACGTAATGAGCCTTTTTTGACTTAGCAAAAAAGCATCTGAACGCTCACGAATACTATCTATATTGTAAATCATTACTCGGACGTGACTGACTTTTGTAACGGTAACGTTTCATTGTCTAATGAGATTTAAGTTTAGTTATCATTATCAGAACTGCAGGCTATGGACAAAGGTTTGTTTAACGTGAAACGTGATTGCCGCATGAGCGGAGAAACGTCTGATATTTTTTTCTGGAATTATGGGTCAGGTCTCATTAACTAATCTGAAAGTTGAACAAGCGCTGTTATATGCAAGGAACTGTTTTTCCGTTTGTTGTCTAATTGAAGCTCAAAACTAGAGCTCGTCTTCAACTTCTGTGACTAGCATAAATTTATCTCTTAAAGTCTATAAACCTTGCATTCTTAAGTGAAGCACGAACTTAATTATATTTTATTTTCCACTAAAAGTAAAAAAGTATATTGATATTAATATGTTTTTGGTGTTCAAAATTAGTAAAAAGCCGTTGAAATGAAACGCAAAATAAATGTAAAACTTATACGTCTTATGGATGTAGCTGTTGAGGTTTCATGTAGCCCGCGGTGTCACCATAAACTGCCAGTGATTATCGATGCGAGCATTGTTCAGCCAGCGTTTTTCATGTGGCTCGCGTGCCGCACTCATCCGGCATACAATGGACCAAGCACGTGCTGCGGTGCTATTGATCGATCGCTGTCGCCAGGTGACGTACTCAGAGATTAGCTCAGCTTAGACACTGGCTTACAGAAATATCTCTGTCGGTTGAACGGTTTTGTTAATCTACTATACAAAATTCAGTTGAAATAATTTAAGGAAACCATCTCACGATACAAATAACATGTCTTATACTACGATTATCCTAAACATCACCCGCCGTCTAGTTATCGGCGGTCCCGATTACAACTGTAATGATGCCGAACCGGTGATGATGCTAAACGTTTACTATTTTACCTCATCCAACAATGTAACTACCATCCGCTACACTTAACACCGCAGCTAAACTAGGAACTAAACGGCTTATTTTCTACACTCGATATTGCAAAAAGGCGGTCATCATTAGGGCGAGCAACTTCAAGTCACGATACGGCTATCGGACGATGTGCAGATTATAAAAACAAGAGGCATTGTGTCGCGTGCCGGCGCAACGGCTTATATCGTATGTGGAGCGTAATATTAATGCCATTTAATTGGTGCTCTTGTTATTACTAAGCATGTACTGCACATAGATAATTAGAATTAGTTTATGCTTTGGTAATTACATTGTTTTGGGACAGTAGAGAAAATTTCATTTAAAAATGTTTACATGCATTATTCTCTAATACAAAAAAGATTTTCTGATGATATTAGAATTCTTCATTTATCAATTATACTAGAGTCAAATGTTATCGTATATTATTCTAAATATATATGTTTTACTGGCAGGTATATTTACGGTGATGTGCTACAATGTACTCTGCGACAAATATGCAACGAGACAGATGTATGGTTACTGTCCTAGCTGGGCTCTCGAGTGGGACTATCGGAAGAAGGGCATCCTTGATGAAATAAGACACTACTCCGCGGACCTCATAAGCTTACAGGTTAATAAACTAAATATTCCTAGATACAATCGATAATACTTGGTAGTATATTTTGCAAACAAATTCTGGACCCACAATTTATTTATCATCCCATATGGTGATAATTTATCAAAAAAAAAAATCTTCGCTTCGTTTCAGTCAAAGAGGTCATTATTAAACATATTTTCTGTATTAGATGGATTCATTACGGTAACTATGGGAGCAGTTTTTTTGACATCACAAAGCCGGTTCATTGATCTTAGCTTTGTATCTCGTTAAAAGATATATCATTGTCGGGAGCGTAGTATTCAAAACTTCTTTTGAGTTATTATGGTGCTAAAATTTATTATTGAATGCTCACTTAGGATAGTGAGTTAATAATGAGCCTGAACGCTTCCGACTCTGTTCTTACCATACACAAAGATTTATTTCATTCGGCTGTTGCATTAATTTACAAACAAAAAATTGTTTCGTATTTACGAGTATTTTCCCACGGCTTTGCTCAAGTAAATGGTTCTTTTTATATACGATTATTATGGTTTTTTCCTTTCAAAACAATATTTTTTGATTAGGTGTTTGACGTATAAAATGGCCAATTTCATGATTATAAAAAAAATAGTTTTCCACAATTTTGACAGATTTCCGTTATACTTGAAATACAGCTGAAATTAAATATCATCTTAAAATTATTCTTCTAACTCACAATGATTGTGAGAGTATACTTTAGAATTCCTTTCATGATTACAAGATCTCTAAATATTTATGAAATAAAATGTATATATGTACATATGCTATATTTAAAATATATTACACCTTAATAGGAAGTGGAAACGGATCAGTTCTATAACTTCTTTCTACCGGAACTAAAACAAGACGGTTACGATGGCATCTTTTCTCCAAAATCCCGAGCGAAGACAATGTCTGAGTCAGAAAGGAAATACGTTGATGGTTGTGCGATATTCTTTAGATCTGCTAAGTAAGTTGATTTTATACGACTGTGTTAAATAATGTTCTAATAATTTTGTTACATTTCTATAAATAATATAAATTTTTCAATAAAATCAACAGATTCTCACTAGTAAAGGAACACCTTATAGAATTCAATCAGCTAGCGATGGCTAACAGCGAGGGTTCAGACAATATGTTAAATCGAGTCATGCCGAAAGATAATATAGGTCTAGCAGCTCTTCTGAAAACGAAGGAAGCGGCTTGGGAAAACGGTAAGTGTCAGGCCAAAGAAATTTGTTAAAATAGTCGAAAATACTAAATATATAATATATGGCGTATTTCAGGTGTACCAACGGATTCGTCAACATTAGCACAACCGATACTAGTTTGTACGGCACACATACACTGGGATCCGGAGTTCTGTGACGTGAAACTGATTCAAACTATGATGTTGAGCAACGAACTGAAGAGTATTATGGAGGATTCAGCAAGGACACTCCGTCTCAGCGGACAGAAGGACAATGTGCAACTGTTGCTTTGCGGTGATTTTAATTCGTTGCCCGATAGCGGTGAGTTTTTGCCCATAATCTTTTTTAGCTTGATTAGAAAACGGAATTTATGTTTTTATATACCTTTATGTTTTTATATTAGTGGTTAAATGCGTCTGGGTTCAGTAAAATAATATTCATATCAATATGTTCTTGTAATCAATTTAACAATGTTTATGAATCATTGAAATTTCATCACGTGTTTGCATACATTGCTTTTAGCTTTGGACACTAACGGGTTTCGAAAGTTCTTTAATGTTACAAAAAAAAACAGGCCGATGAAATTGTCTAGCATTACTTTGTCTGAAATTTACTTGCTAATGCTTTAAATATGTTTATATGAGTAAAAGCTTTGACTTTTATCCATCCCTTTTGACCCTCCATAATACTCAGATTCATCTATATATGTGTGTATTTTAATTTCCAGGTGTAGTAGAGTTTTTATCAGCTGGGCGTGTGTCGTCTGAACACAGAGACTTCAAGGAGCTCGGCTACGCGTCATCTCTCCGTCGTATGCCGGGCTCGGAGCACGAGTTCACGCACAACTTTAAATTAGCCTCCGCATACAGCGAAGATATCATGCCCTATACTAATTATACGTGAGTTTGATTAAGAACACTACTCTAATTTACTATAGGGATTGTATGTAATTGGGCTATAAAACTGGATGGACTATATCTACTGCTTCTACTGTTGTTCATGACACGTAATCTTGGTGAGATATATGAAATATTTAACTTTGATATCCTCTATAATAGGAACTATCTTTATTGGATCTATGGCAAAAGACTTTCACTTTGGATTATAACTTAATTTTTATCCTAGATCTATCATTATAAAGCTACAACTATATCTTAAAGATATTATTTTTGCAAAAGAACGTTTTTCGTATTGAGCTGAGTTTTTATCCTAACAGCTGATGGATCAAATGTTCCTACGTTTTAATTGATTCCAACTCAACATGCTCTGACATTTTTATTTTGGCAACAGCAAACTAAATTTAAATAAAGATATCTTAAAGATAATTTCACACAGATATAAACACTGTCATTCAATATTTTTGCTATCCCTACCTACTAACAACATCTATACAAGTGATAACAAAAATCAATCATATATTCTGAACGATCAATAAGAGTTATTTCATTTCCAGGTTCGACTTCAAAGGTATCATCGACTACATATTCTACAGCAAGCAGTCGATGACGCCGCTGGGTCTGTTGGGGCCGCTGTCTCAAGACTGGTTCAGGGAGCACAAGGTGGTGGGGTGTCCGCATCCACACATACCATCAGGTTAATAATTTGCATCATATTCCATAGAAAACCACCTCGGAAATAGCATTCAGATAAGGCATTATGTAACACTGCTTCATGACGTCATCATTAAGTACTAGCTCTCCGCCAGCAGCTTCGCCCGCGTGGAGTTTGGTTATATCGCGTTTACAAGAGAACTTTTCAAAAGTCTGGGATAAAAACTATCCTATGTTCTTTCTCATAGTCAACTCTATGTCTGTACCAAATTTCATTAAAATCAGTTTAGTGGTTCAGGCGTGAAAGCGTAACAGACAGACAGACAGAGTTATTTTCGCATTTATAATATTAGTAGGGATTATACTCAGAATATACGGAATAAAGTAGTATTCTAATAAGCTTTTTGCTAATGATATCTAAGATTTTCGTGAATTTTATTCATTTAAATGTAACTAATATTTTTCGGATTATACTACGCGACTTTATCTTTGTAAAAAAACTACATACTCCCGTTTCAGTTACTTTTCAGCAACCGTGATCACGGGCAGACGAGATGTCTCGTAGAATAATCCGAAAAATATTCGTTTTATTTAGAAGCTTTTTGCTATTTGAAGGGCATAATGTGCACATGTTATATATTATAATATGGAGTTACTGACTGTGGCATAACACTTTTCGTTCACTGCCAATGAAATTCATCATAAAATATAATGTCGGAAATATGTAATTAACTATATTTTTATACCGTTTCCAGATCATTTCCCACTGTTGGTAGAGTTAGAGATGTACCCGCCATCCGCCAGCAGCAACGGACTGATCGGGCGCAGGTAGCACCCGCCATGCGCGTCCGATACGACACGCGTACGACACGCGCGACACACGTGAGACACGCGACACGACACACAATGATCCGCTAGTATAAAGTATTGTATCCAGGGGCGGATGTTTTATGTTAGTTGACTCGCAAGATATTTTGTATTTTTGGACATATTTGTAACTAAATTAATGGAATTCTTTTTTAATTTAGCGTTTGACACCAGTCCGCCCCTGTCCAAAAAACATCTGACCCGAGATCGATGTGTGTCGTACGTTATTGACGAGATACGTCATTGTGAACCGAAAAAAATTAAAGTGACCAATTTTATGGACATAATAAAGAGCATATTTGTATTGCATTTTTAGTTTACTATACCACATACTAATGTTATACGAGCAGTAACGTATCTCCGTATTGAAGTAATCTGTATGCCTTAGTAATATTGTAAATTTTTAATAGTATACATTTTGTCCGTTCGAATGATTTTATAGTAAGTGTTCGTTACTCAGGACGTCGGTTAGATGACAATTTATTTTTTTAAAACAATCTGACATTATGAACAGCTTGTAAATTTATGGAGAGTAATATTTTTTCAATGTTTATAATAGACGGGCAGGTTTACGCTTAGTTTATTATGTACAGTCGAGGAATACGTTTTGTCTGAGACTGACGAATGTGAAATTTTTTCGGGACTTCGTTCTCGACTCTGGTGCAATAATGCAATCCGCTTTAAAACATAAAAATAACTGGTGCAATTATGCAATTTTATTTATATTTTATACGCTAGATGTTTATCGGTGACGTGTTCGTCAGTTTTCGACATTGTACATTTCTTTTTAAATTATTATGATTATTATTTTTATTTTATTAAATTCTCTCGTGTTTAAATTGCACAAAGTCGTTTTACGATGCAGACGTCCATTTACCCATTAGATTTAATTCCTCCACTGTATATAACATTTAGGTATTTTTTTAAACGGGCGTTTTATGCAATGCGCGGTTGTGAGGTCTGTGTACGGCGTTCGTCAACTCGATGGAGACGGAATTTTTATTATTGATTTCTCTTGATTTCTTTTTTATATGATCGATCGAATAAATAGACAATTAGTATAATGCGCTCCGTCCCATCGATCGCTGTCTCATGAACAATCGGTAACGTGTAGTTATATTGATGTTTGTGTGTCGTCTGTGTCAGAACAAAGTCGGACGCTCCTAGGTTAATGACATTTTGTGTTTCAACAAACTTCTCAGCGAGATAATGATTTTAGTTTTTTTTTCATATCGTCCCGAGTGTTTCAGCTGCGGCGTGTGTGACGTCACCATCGATCGATTCTCGCTTAGCCTATAAGTAATCTCCGTTGTTTTCACAAATTTTATATTTTATATGTAGGTTTGTAAGTAGCGTTTCGTTCGATTCAGTATTGTAATTCGTGGATGTTTTAAAATCTTTGCGTCTCTGCATTTTATTTTAGTTTTAGATGGTCCGGAGTCGATCGATGATGATTGTCTAGTAATAGCGGGTAGCATACTGGCGTAGTACAAATGTATGTGTGAATGTTGGTTGGCGTCGTATCGAGATCGTCTCTCATTGGTCCATAATCTTCTGTCGTGTGTCATGATTGGTCGGTTCCCATCCGTGTTCCGTTCATTGATTGGTCAGTTACGTTTTGGCAATTGATTATATTTGGTCCAATTTCCGATGATTGGTCAGTATTCGATAGGTTTCGATCTTCAATGTCATAATCTGTCAGTTTTGTTCATAATTCAAATCATGACCGTCCGTCTTAATAGTAATTAACGCTTTTGTGATTATTGGATCAATTTACATAATATTTCACACCAAAAAAAATTTTTCGTTTCCGAATTATTTGTCAAATACTCTTCAAGAATATAATTAAAATTTGTGTATGGAATGTCTTTGTTTAGTTTTTGATGGGTTTGTCGTATTTTTGGTACATTTTCAATACATCTGGCTCTTAATGAGTTTGTCTTCAACTGAACTAGTCATACCAAGTTTAGATGCGATTCGCTCTCTTAAATATATTTTGTTAATAAAATCTTCTTTACTTGTACATTTTATTTCGATATTGCCTAATCTATGTTTTGAATCATGATATAATATTTTTACATTCTGACATCAAAATATATATATTAGCAAAATTCTTGAATAAGTTTTTTACCAATCATGGACAATTTCATAGTTTCGTCTCCATTAATCAAATTTATCTTTTTTGAATACAAGTCATGTTCAGAAGCAAGCAACGCCATTGTGATATCTGTAAATGTTTAGACATTTGAATTGAGCCAAATCATGTAAGGGTATATTGATTTAGAGGTCCGTGTTCGTTTTTCTATAATGAATGTTACAATATTATATTTTATATTGTTTCTCATATAATTTTTCTAAGTACATATAGATTATGAGAAGTCATATCATGTTGTTCGGTTTTGTTTTCGTGTAAATTGTTCTAGTGTTAGTTACTAGATTGTTCTTCCTGCGTGAGCACAAATTTAGCAATATTCATGTTTCAACGAATGTAATGCCTTCACCTACGATGTTTCTCTATTTGTATATAGCGCATTGTCTATTTATTAAGTACCAGTGTATCTGGGTCCCGGTTTGAGGGAAGTCTGTTCGGTTTTGGAGGTCTGCGTCATCGGTCAACTTTATAGCCACATCAATCCACCAATATTGAACAACGGCCAAATTCTAAGAGCAAATACTAAAGTCTGAAATGATAGATGCTACTTTTATATATCTTCTTTGTTATTTCGAGTACTTATGAACATATTATAATTTAGTGAGGTATAATGTTGTATAAAGAAAATTCATACATTTCAATAAGTTCGACGAAAATATTATTTATTGCTGAAATTTTTAAAATATATTTACATAGTTGTAGTGAATTTGTTCCTTTGTTTATTTAAAAATTAAATCGAGACTTATCCTGAATAGTACATACCTTGTTTAAGACCAAATTTCAAACTAAGTACAATATGGAACTTTCAATATAAATACACGGAAATATTGTCACTACTTTCTATTATAGGAGCTTTATTATTTGTAGATGAAATGTGATCTCTTTAATTTTAATACAATTTTGATGGTCAATTTTACTTAATATATGTGATGTGAAATAATAATCATTTATTATCATACGTTCTGCGACACAATCAATTTGTACTTTGTATATTCATAAAATGGAAAAATATTATTGGAACTGCTCTTATGTGGAATTATTTGTGTATATATGTTTTATATGTAACATTGTATATGTAGCCAAATTTGTCTCATTTATTTTATAATTCTGTGTATATTTTAAGCTGTGTTATAATTTAATGTCATCATTATTAACAATGTCAAGGAAATCCTTATTTTTTTGTGTATAATTGATTTTTTAATGTCCGGAATTATTGGTGTACAACGAGCCGTCGGATGTGTTGCTTGATTTCTGAACGCACTGACGCCATTAAAATCTATATCTTTATTAGGTACAGATAATGAATATTTTTTATCTGTGAAACGTCAGTGTCAACGTCAAACGGCGTGATACCGACAGACATTCCGCAGACCTAATCGAATTAGCTCAATGCAAAAGACTGTATGAGACTTTAATGAAAGAATAATATCATAATAAAGAAACAATAAAAAGTATAATAATAATAAAAAAAAATATTTTCTGAAGCACCTTAACGAGTTTACAAAACGTGTTTTATGGTGATTTAATGATAATATCGAAATGTATAACTCACTAGTACGTAAGGACAGATGCTTAACCATACTGTGATCCGTAACACTAATACACCAGAGAAACACCATAGGCCTTTATGATAGAGAAAATATAAATCTTATGAAGACGTAACTATGTATTTGTATGCTGAGGAGTCTTGGAAGAGTTGCTTGATTTTGTATACGTCAAGTTTATGTACCGTAATGTATCGATCGTGTCTTAAATTGTACAGATGAATCTTTTTATATATATTATATGTATTTTATTATTTGCATTGAATTTCGTACAAAATCAAACAACGTCTTTGCGATGTGAAATTAACTTTAAAAGTACAAAGTACGTGTGAGATGTTCGTTATTGGATCGTAGTGTTGGAGCGATCAGATGCGCGTGTGTGTGTGTACGTGTGTGTGCGGCTGTGGTTGTGTGCGTGAGGCCACGCGGCCCGCGTCTCGCTGTGCTGTTTGTTGACACATTATGTATATTTGAAATGAATCAAATTATAAGATAATATGAATTTTATCACCATTGTTTCATTTAATACCCTATAATAAACATTTACCGAAATATAAATATCACCATTTGCAAATATAGTATGTATGCATTACTGATGAAAGTTGAAAGTCTTTTGGGACTAGCAATTTCTATTTAAAATGATTTACAAAAAGCCTAAACCTTTAAAAATCATTGAACTTATTGAGGCTCAAATCATCGGACAATGTAAAGATTTTTCTTTCAGGATCTGTCTAAAAATACAGTATACAAATATCTAGATATTTTTTTTAGTCTCGATCCGAAAGTCACTAAGATTTTGTGACACCTTCAAAAGGATGATAATAAAATAAAATGCTGCAAAAATATTTACAGTATCCAAATTGAAAAGGTGTGATTTAACGTATTCCTGTTATCTTAATTTAGGCCTTTACTTGTAACTTAAATGTTATAGCCAATACAGGTAATTATTGCAATTATAAAAAACAAAGATGATCCGAAATATTCCTTAACACTCGAATCAGTGGTTTTTTACCGAAATTGTAAATTTCAAATGAACTGAAATAAATTAAGCGTCTTGCAGATTAGCCATTTTTTTCCAATCAAGGGGAAAAATAAAAAAGCTTCAATTTGTTTTGAAATATAAAGTCAAATTACATTTTTTTCCTGATGTTGACGTTATTAAAAAAATCATGGATTCATCAATTCCTGAGTGCTATTGTGCCACTCTGGAGAGGAATAAGATCATCCTGCCTCAAAATGTCCAGTATGTTTCCTTGGACTATAGCTAATAGTGGTAAGAGGTCACTAAACCTTTGATCAGAGGCTGCATGTATCACCCTTGGACTTCTTAGAGAGATGAGTAAGACAACTTTTTGAGGAACATAATTTGGTTTAAAAAAAAATGTAATCAGTCTTAAACCCTGATGTGACAGCCTCTTAGTGTTTTATATAATAAATGGAGACGGCAGGTATGCAAGGGATTACAGGCTATAATTCCTCCACCCTTTTTGCTAGCGGACGACCAGACAAAAGGCGAGCCGATAAGCTATCGTTTTATATCATCCTCCTTCCTCTTCCTCACATATGGACCAAACTATACGGATCTTGAGGTGTACTTCAGGCTATATTCTTTACCATTTACAATCTCGAGTTCATCAAGGAAAGAGACAATAAACGTTTAATGAGTTAGACCGTTTATCATACGGCTACATTTTTATTAACGAACTGGTGGTATTATGGCTAAGCACAGTCCAGCCCGAAATAAGAGGTTTCTCTTAAAGTCAAAAGTAGGAATTATTTAATTGTTTGTTGGTGCCTTACTACTTAACAGTTTTACTGTACGTTCATATAATATATTTTTTACTAAAAAAAAGCTTAGAAACATAATAGTTTTGCCATCTAGCCTAATACTTGGAAAATTTCTCCAAATTAAAATTTATTAATTTTTATTTAAAAAAAAAAACATTTTTTAAGGAAAAATATAGTTTATAAAATTGTACCTAAGTGTGTTACTATCATATCTTTCTCGTAGGACGAAATGTTTCTACATTTTCGTGAATTTTAACTCAATACTCTCATAGGACGCTCCATTGTATTTTAATATTGACTAAAGTTTCTCAGACCTCTTTATTAGTCGGACCTTAAATAGTATATTTATGTTTTTATCAAAATTTTGGTCATACAGAATTTTTTCAAAATAATATAAGGAATTCAGTTTGATACAACAATATAATTTTATCGGTAATGAGACCGTAGTACTTAAGGAATGTATCACAGATAGCGTCGCAGTTGTTCCAAAGACGCGCATCATGGCAGGTGAGTTGATAATACTGATAATTTTTATTATTTGAATCTCCATTATTTTCTACAAAGCAATGACCTCATTCTATATATGTATTTTATAAGATTCATTTGATTACGATACATTGTAGGACTTATAAAAAAAACGACTTAGTTTATATTTCAATGTATACATTTCAGAATATCTTGTTAGAATTTTCGTATATAATCCAAATTAATTTTCTGTACTGTAATAAGAATATAAAAAACGTGGAATTTTTTCATATCATAAAGGTTATAATTGATTATATGATAAGGCTCGAAATATCGATGGATATGACCTTAATTCCACTAATTTTGGTTATAAGTGTCTGTGACATTTTTTCATTCACCTTACGTAATCAAAACAGGGACGTGTCATCTCTCTATGTTTAACAAGAAACGTCTGCCACAGTTAGGCCAATCCTCCCTATGGTTCCCCTTCTATCTAGTGTTGCCCAAAATCGGTCTTGGTCTTGTTCTTGCAAAAATGCAAAACCTGTGTTGATGCAAGACAAAGACCAAGACTGGCCAAGTCTCGTTTTGTTGTTGCATTTGGGCAACACCATTTCTATTCCATCCCAAGTTCTTAAAATTATATTTGTAAGAATATTTTTTGCACACAGAAGATGCTTATGCAGTTTTCTCTATTTTCAATATCATTTAACAACAAAGCGTGTTGGCTATTGCTTGCTGTGTTTCTTATATTTGATACAAAATTTTTTTTTCATTCCGCTATCAAAAGATATAGATATGGATATAGATATAGATAGAAAACCTTGCTTTTAGACTTGTGGAAAATAATACAGTTACTAGATTTACCAAATTAAACTTCGGTTTATTGCACGGTAGAATAATGCATACAATGGGTTGATAAGTATAAAAAGTTGCATAGACAATTGTGCGGATGTTGGCCAAAAATGGTACTACATATATTTTGTAATTGTGGCAAGGGCAATGTTTAAATTCATCCAATATCCTCTCTTAAACATAAGCCCATCTTGGATGAACAAAAAACCAGCTTAGAGTATATATCGTTGCTTTAATTGTCCCTCATATCACGAATAAAGTGGTGCCTCACGTTGAAGTGTTTTGTGCTGGAATGGTAACCATCGGTACCTGAAAGTTATATCGAACTTTGATTGTCACTGTAAATGATCATAGATTTATTGTTCATCTGTGGCCAAAAACATTCTTGAAATTGCTTCAGCCATAAAGCTTACTGTATACAAGATGATAATGACATATACTCTGCTTCCGTTCTAGATAGAGCAACCGTAAGTTGTCTCCTTGAGTTCCAGCCTTTTTTTCCTCCCTGAAAAACGAATGAATGCATAACCAGTACAGGAGCGCCGACCATCTTCTGAACAAGCCCAATCAGCATCACAATAACGATGAACCATAGTCTCTTCAGAGTTCGGCCTATAATAATCTCGAGTGGCTTTCAAATAATGTTTGAAGCGCTTTCAGCAGTCAGGCTTGGTTACTTGTGGTATGTATAATAAGCACCCTATTATCTCTTGATAAGGAAATTCTATAATATTTATTTCCTCTGTATTTCCTTTTCTACTCAATGTTGTATTCGGTTCCATTGGAGTTTTGACCGTCTTACAATTGGACATATTATATTTGTGTAAAACATCTAGTATGTACTTTCTTTGGTCCATGTATTCTATTTTACTCCTCTCGTCCCGTTTTGTTCTACAAGAATAAACTTCACTAGATATATCTCCAAGATCTTTAAATTTATACTGTTAATGTAACTGTTCTTTTATGTAACTTTTTTCTTGATTCTTCTTCTACCTGGAAATTTCCCAGCTTTAGGCAGAGTCTGCCTTACATGTTGTAAATAGTTTGCCTTACATGTTGTAAATAGTCTCGAAGGGGATCTGTTGATTATATAGGCTGCAGTAGCAACTGCCTCCGCCCAATAACATTTTTGCAGTTTTGCTTTAAACAGCAGGCACTTAGCACGCTCCACCAGCGTTCTGTTCATTCTCTCCGGTAGCCCATTTTGCTCCGGTGTATATGGTATGATTTCTTTAGAACCAGAATTTGGAAACGGTAATCGTGTTTGTTTTGCTTCACAACAAGGTATACAGACAGTATCAATTTCTTTCTTACTCAATGCCCTCAGCACACAATTCTAACCTCTTTACATAAGCCATATTCAAATTCCCCATTCTCTTATGCCATGTTAACTACATAATCTGACTTGCTTTCACTTATCACAGCATATGCATTCCCAGTAACAGTATTGAGTTTTTACATATTATAAGTCAGCCTCGCCGTTGCTACTAAATTCTTATTTACATTGTATATATTACATCCAGTGTCAGTGAATTCCACTTTACAGACACTCTTTGTTAACCGAGTGACCGGTACCAGGTTTGCACTCAATTGAGGTATAAATAAAACATTCCATTTTACATTCATTTCTATATTACTTGGTTTATTATTATTTGAATCAGAGGTGATTTTATATCATACATCCAATCTGAGCGTTTTGTCCTTTGCATGTAGCGCCTGAATCGATACACCAGTCTTCCTGATTCAATGTACTGTAAGCTGTAAAAAAATTTAATTGTTGCAATGGAAGCCCTTTCCTTTTGCCTTAGTACTATGCTCAGAGGTGTGTTTGTGCTTAGAAAAGAATGCAGAACTTTCGGATACTATGACTTCCTGTAAAAGTTTTGTTTTTATGAAATCTGATGAGATTTTGATGCCAGAACTTCCCAGACCTATGATCATAGGGTTATATTTGTCGGGTAACCCTGCCAACATGAGTGGTCCCAGCCATATATCTCCAACTTCGAAGTCAATGTTCCACAATTTATACGCTGTACTCATAATTATATTCTAATATTCTTCTATGCTGGGACAGTTGTTCAATGATTGAATTGAATGAAGAAAGTGTTGATTAAATCTTTCAGTAGGCTAACTTTTCAAGACAGCCCGGAGTCTTCAAATGCATTGTGAGGGTTTTGCCAAACTTGTTTTGATGAAGTGGCTGTTTTCAATATGCACGTAATTTATCGGTTCGACCAAGAAAATTATCTTTGACTTGGCTTTAACATCTTTCTTGGGATCGACCTCGGTGCCAGGATCACCACATTCCCATAAGTCATCCAATTCCAAATATGACTTCACTGTGAATTTCTCGCCGGCTATTTTCTCAATTTGTATGTCAGTCGTAGCCATTATTCACAGAGTGTAATTCGGATTCGCGTTTTATGTACTATACTTAAATTGCAAGAAATATTTAATTACTAATCTAATACAACAAACTTGCCAAAAACGGTATTACATTTATTTTTTTATTGTGGCAAGGGCGATGTTTACATTCTTTTATTTTTCCAATAAGACTGATAGCGAAACGCCCATTAATATTGACATTCAAAAAAAAATCAAGAAAAAATCTGTGCCTAAATAACTTTTATTAGTTATAACATAAAATATAATATTTCAATCAGAAAACTCTTATAAAATTGTAATTTTTCATTAATATTTTAGAAACTTACCGTTGGGTCCCGGCTTGTTTGAGCCAAAGAAGCATTCCGATGGGTGCTCTCAGAGTAGGCACAGACGAAAATGGTAATGAAATATATGCTGGAAGAGCACATCACAAAGGCGGCTTACAACCAGCTATAGTTATACCCGCAAAGAACACTTGCTACATATCATACGCTGGCGAAGAAATTGTCATAGACCAATTTGAGGTAATATCAACTGTTAAAGATTTAAAGTTATGTTGAGAATTGGACCAAAAAAAATATTTACATTTAAATTGAGAATTGGACCAAAACAATATTTACACAAAAAGCACCCAGAATGGCTATGACATTCGTCTTTAAGCAAAAAAATTAAATATTATGTATGGTTGAAATTCATAAGTTTTACATCGGATACTTTAGAAAATCAAATCTTTTATAAAGTACAAGAATGAATGAGAAAACTATTAAAATGTATAGGTAAATTTTTTTGAAAATATTTTTTTTTGATCCAAAATATATGCATGTTTTGGAACAACAGTTAATTTTAGGACAAACAATCGGTATCGTCCAAAACACTACTGCAATATTAATATCGCTTTAGTAATTCGGGAAAAAAAATCAGTATAATATTTTCAAAGAGAAACATTTTGTTATAATTTTAAAACGAAATAATATTTTTACACACATACACAACTACAGCAAAAATTATAAGGCAGTTCGAAGCAACGATAATTGGATAAAATCAATTCTATACAGGTTCTGGTCCCTGCTACGTTCTCGTGGCAGTTCTCATCTCAAGGTAAAGTTCCTCCTGGTGCTGTTGAGGGTGGCTTCGCAGCCAATGGAGAGAAGCTGTACTTCGGAAGAGTCACCATAAACGGCCTCCCTATACCTGGAAAGGTAATATAGATAAATGACAATTACATACAAATTTATACATTGATACAAAAAATATTGTACCTTGAACTTTCAATTCATGTTTCAGATCCAACAATCCCACGGAGTCTGCTACTATCCTTTCGAAGGAAAAGAGGGGAAATCGGATAAATATGAATGTCTTGTTCTTTTCTAAAGTGTCATGACTGTTTATTTAGTAACTAACGTATTCATTACATACTATAGACCACCACTATAGGATATTTTTCAGTGTCACAATTATATGTACTTATTAATTGAAAATTTCACTGAGGTTTTTGAACAAGCATCTCCGAAATATATTTTTGTATTTTGTATATCAGTTTTCTTTAGATACTTCCAATACCCAATAAACAATGTTTGATTTCAAAGTCAAAATTAATTTACTCTTTTAAAATATTTTCTTGCCAACAGTATATAAATCGTTATTTTTTTATGAATAATTCTTATCTCTGGGATAACGCCTGCAATAACTAACTTAGCAATTATGTTTTCCTACAACTTTATCCAAACAAAGAATCAATTTTTTTATATTCTTTTGTGAAAGATGGCAAACGAGCAGACTGCCTACTTGATGGGCAGTAGGCACAGTCGCCCATGGACAGTTGCGGATGCGTTGCCAACCTTAGTTGTTGAGGAAAAGGAAGGGGTGGGAATAAGGAAAGGGCAGGAGAGGGTGATAACAGGGAAAGAACAACAGGCTCTTTCACTCATCGGACGAAACGCAGCCATAAAAGGATACTTCACGCCGATCTTCTGCGAGAGGGTGGTACCTCCCTGGTCAAGCCAGGCCATATTACTTAACCACAGCTAGGCTCTACCTTCTTTATTTCACTATATGCGGCTAATCTTCGATACAATTCTGTCCAGAGCATGTCAATAACAGGCAAATAAGTTTAATTTTTATATTTATCTCTACCTCAATGAATCACGTCTTCTCCTGATCCGTCCTCATGATCTCTTTTCCTTCTTCACACACGCTGACTTTCATCACTGTATTGGAAGTCAGCTTTTTCATTTTGCTTTCATTTCGTAATCGTCAAATAATTTTCTTTGGACAACAACGCGTTGTACGTTATTGCCATTGTTTAGAGAACCAAGGATTTTGACATCACCATGAATTGATTATCCACGAGATGTTTAACAATTTAATTACTGAGACCGCTCTGTGTAAAATTTTAACCCAATATTCTCTTTCTCTTTTTATTGCAATTTCTAAAAAAGTAATCCTTGAACACGTCGTCTACTAATCAGTATACGCACATATACTCGATGCGTTGCATTGTTCTTATGATTGAATTCGGTGCGATACATTTTCCAATGAGAAAACCCAAATTACGATTGCTTTGAGCATCACCAAAAAATTTCATATGGAAAACAGTTTACTTTCCCATTAGATGGCGAATACATGAGCCACTTTCGTTTAATTTTACCACCACTTATATGTTTCTGAAAATTCATAGGTTGTAATAATATCGTTTTTAGCCATCGTCGTATTGTCTGGATGAAGTTGAAAAATCACACTCAAAGTGTTGAAATTCATTAGGATCTCTAGGACACCAAAAATCTTTTACTGCCTCGGTAATATTTTGACATAAGCCAATGTCATTCTCATATTCTACTCCTAGATCTAGAAGTGTTTGATCTTCCTCAGCTCCCACTCCCACTCCCGCAAACGTGGCTGTGTACAAAAAAAAATATGATAAAAAAATTAAAACCAATGTTCATACAAAAAATAAATAATTAAAACCAATGTTCTTTAGACCACACGACTGAAGTAAAACTTCTTTCGCTCCACCTATGTGTAATATGTATTTGATTATGTATATGTTTGTATGAGTATTTATAATACAGTCAAGTATATATATAAATATATATAAGACGGTTCGTCAATTTTGGATTAGTTTAATAATAAACATCTAAGGGAATTCAGTTGATTTGTTACATAAAAATTATGAGCGGCCAGCGCTGAATATGGTAGTGATTGTCACTGAATGTGAGGACGGCCATTATGCTATGGGTAACCGTCAAACAAAGTGCATAAGCCTAACCCATTTGCTCCTAATCTACTTTCATCTTATTATTTGAATGTGATTTTAAATAAAATTGTAAAGAAATCGTGTAATTAGATATTGTATTAGCTAATAAACTTTTAATGAGTTAGATCGCTTATCATACGGCTACGTCTGTATTCACTATCCAGTATCATTATAGCTGTGCATTATCTAGTCCGAATAAATATAAAAGGTGTCTCTAAAATACCAAGGTAGGAATTTTGTAGGTGGTTGTAAAAGTTTTATTCCTTGCTTAACAGTTTTACTCTACGTTCATATGATATATTTTTTTACTAAAAGAAACGAACGAAATATTAGGTAATTAATTTGTCATCTAGCCTAAAAAAAAGTCGCTTTTATTTAGAATTACTTACATGTTATATACTACCACAAAAATAATCCAATGTAAAAATCCGGAATGTTCCTAATAAAAATTGTCTTTTCTTTGTTAAATATGGAACATTCTAATAAAATAAGATTCAATAACGTCAATTGTAACAGAATACATTTTATGAGTTGCTCTTACATAATTGTTAAGTTTCTACAAATAAAAATCTCTTCCTTTTATTCAATAAAAAAAGTAAAAACCATACACTATTCTTACTTAAAGTATAGTTTATCAAAATATGTGTGTATACTTCATGTCTTCCTCGTAGGACGAAATTTTCAGTCAGTTTCGTGAATTTTATCAGAATAGGGTACTTTACAAGGACACGCCATTTTATTTTAAAAATAACTAAAGTTTCTCAGACTGATTTATTAGTCAGACGTTAAATAGCGGTTTTGTTTTTATCAAAACTTTGGGCACACAGAAATTCTTTAAAATAATATAAGGAACACAGTCTAATGCAACCAAATATAATTTTATCGGTAATGAGATCGTAGTACTTAAGGAAGGTATCACATATAGCGTCGCAGTTGTTCCAGAGTCGCGCAACATGGTAGGTGAGTTGATAATACTGATAAGATTACATTATTTTAATCACTCATTTATTTGATTACGATACATTGTAGGAGTTATAAAAAAATTACTTAGATTATTCTTTACATTTCAGAATATCTTGCTAGAATTTTCGTATATAATCCAAATTAATCTTCTGTACTATAATAAGAATATAAGCGACGTGGAATTTTTTCACATCATAAAGGTTATAATTGATTATATGATAAGGCTCGAAATATCGATGGATATGACCTTAATTTCACTAATTTTGGTTGTAAGTGTCTGTGACATTTTTTCATTTACCTTAGGTAATAAAACAGGGATGTGTCAACTCTCTATGATGAACAAAAAACGTCAGCCGCAGTTGGGCCAATCCTCTCTATGGTTCCCCTTCTATCCCATCCCCACCTCTTATTATATTCGTACGAATATTTTTTGCATACAGATGATGCTTATACATATTTTTCGCGATTTTGAATATAATTTGATCATAAAGAATATTGTCCATTGCTTTCTGTGTTCCTTATATTTGGTATAATTTGTTTTTATTCATTTCGCTATCGAAGTATAAAACCTCATCTTTGGACTGATAGCGAAACGTCCAATAATATTGACATTTATAATAAATGAAAGTTAAAAATCTATAGAAAAATAACTTATATTTTAAATAACCAACGAACCATTATTTTCATATAGTTTTGGTGGTAGATGTATATCAACAGGAATAACTGACAGACATTTTTATCTCGTCTGCCCCTGATCTCGGTTGCAAATAAGTAACGGAAAGGTTGGGAGTTTATAGTATTTAAAAAAATAAAGCACGTGTAGTACACCCTAATTCATGACTGGTCGCAAGCATTGCTAAAATTTTATCTCAATGCGTTCCAGATGACTCTCCCAGATCAGAGTAATTTAGTAAGATGGGGTAAAGGTACCGACAAAACTTGGTACATCTATGGAAAGGCAGTTAATGGAACTGCTAAGCATTTGCTGGTGGGATGTAAGGTTCTCCTGGACAGCGGTCAATACTCGCGTCGCCACGATAGGGTTCGAGAAATAATACGTGAAGCGGTTAGTCTTTCGGTAGCCAGAGCGCAAAGGGAAATAATCACAAACGAGCGATCTGTAGGTTTTGTGAGAGAGGGCACCAGGGCTATAAAATCAAACGTCAAGCCTTACTCTATCCTTAAAGTGGCTTCGGATTGGACTATCATGATGGTTACGTATGAGAAAAAATAAAAAATCTCCGAAGATATTTGTGCGTTGGCCTTCAGACCAGACATATTTCTATATTCGCTCATTTTAAAGCGCGTTGTGATGATAGAGCTTACGGTGCCTTGGGAAACCAACATCCCCAAAGACCATGCCATCAAGGTCAACAAATATTACGAGCTCACTCGAAATAGTTTATATATAGGTATAACAGCTAAATCTCTTTATAACCTACTAAAAGACTCTGGCCTCTGCAGAACTAATATTAATTCATTCTTGGAACGTACGAAGAAGGCAGCCCTAGTAGGTTCTTTTCAAATTTGGTTAGGTAGAGAGAGGAGCTTGGACAGTGGAGGCGAGCGTATAACGCACGTTAGATAAGGGGCCTCTAACCTAACCTACACCTGGGTCGCAAGTCCCAGGCACTGTTGAAGCTCTTCTCCCTGCAACGCGATTGAACCGGCACCCGCACGGTGAATCCATTGAATGCTAAGAGGTTTCGTCTCCCGAAAAATATTAATTTCATTGAAATAACTTATATAAGTTATCTCATTAAAGTATAATTCAATCACAAAATTATTATATTTTATTAATATTTTAGGTACGTACCGTTGGGTTCCGGCTTGCTTGAGCAAAAGAAACATTCCGATGGGTGCTCTCAGAGTGGGCACAGACGCTAATGGTAATGAAATGTTTGCTGCAAGAGCACGTCACAAAGGAGACTTACAACCAGCTACAGTTATACCCGCAAAGAATACTTGCTACATATCATACGATGGCGAAGAAATTCTCATAGACCAATTTGAGGTAATATCAACTGTTAAAGATATAAAGTTATATTTATTTAAATTGACAATTGGACCAAAAAAATATTTACACAAAAAGTACCCAAAAAGGCTTTTGACATTCGTCTTTAAGCAAAAAAAGTAAATATTATGTATGGTTGAAATTCATAAGTTTTACATCGGATACTTTTAGAAAATCAAATCTTTTATAAAGTACTAGCTTTTGCCCGCGACATCGTCCGCGTTAATTTTCATTAGTAATATTTGTATAGCTGACCGGTCGAACTCTACTCCGTCTAAAACAACCAGGTATTGGTATTTATTAAATTTTTCCTGTTTCAATAGAACAGAATGATTGACATATTAGTTAGTTGTCAAATCTAATGTCAAAAAACGTTTGTATGGGAAATAGAAAAGGGCTGATTTTAGGGTTTTCCCGGAAATGAATAAATTTTTTCAGCTTTTAAACCTTCCCTGAACCTCCACAAACATTTCAAGACTGAGATAAAATAAATTCGTTCAACCGTTCTCGAGTTTTAGTGAGACTAACGAACAGCAATTCATTTTTATATATGTATATAGATATAGATAATAATATATATAATATGATATGATGTGATGTGATGTGATATGTGTGATGTGATCTGATAATAGATAAGTAGATATAGATAAACAAGTATGAATGAGAAAATTATTAAAATGTATAAAAATCAGCCCTTATTACAATTTTGTGATCATCAGATGGAATACGATCGAGAGCAATTTGGAACAGTTGAACTAATGCGTTATGCTGAAGGAAAAACCGTTGTAGCTCATGAATAATTTCTCGCCTTTTATTTGAAACAATTGCATTCCACAACGTTGACAGTAAATTTTGGGACGAACAATCGGTATCGTCCAAAACACTGCTGCAATATTAATATCGCAAATAATATTTTTAAAACATAACATATAACATAACTTCAGCAAAAATTATAAGGCAGTTCGATGCAACTGCAGTTGGATAAAATCAATTCTATACAGGTTCTGGTCCCTGCTATGTTCTCGTGGCTAGCCTCATCTCGAGGTAAAGTTCCTCCTGGTGCTGTTGAGGCTGGCTTCGCAGCCAATGGAGAGAAGCTGTACTTCGGAAGAGTCACCCAAAAGGGCTGCACTATACCTGGAAAGGTAATATAGATAAATGACAATTAAGTACATACAAATTTATACATTGATACAAAAAATATTATACCTCGAAATTGATTGTTGAACTTTCAATTCATGTTTCAGATCCAACAATCCCACGGAGTCTGCTACTATCCTTTCGACGGAAGAGAGAGGTATTCGGCGAAATATGAATGTCTTGTTCTTTTCTAAAGTGTTATGACAGTTTATTTAGTAAGTAACGTATTCATTACATACTATAGACCACCATAGGATATTTTTCAGTGACACAATTATACATACGTATTAATTGAAAATTTCACTGGGGTTTTTGAACAATCATCGTCGAAATATATTTTTGTATTTTGTGTATCAGTTTTCTTTTAATACTTCCAGTACCCTATAAACCATGTTTGATTTCAAAGTCAAAATTAATTTACTGTTTTATGATATTTTCTTGCTAACAGCAAGAAATCGGTTTTTTTATGAATAATTATTAGCAATTATGTTTTCCCACAACTTTATAATTATAGATTTAGCGATTTGTCAATAGACCATTATCTATAATTTTAAAAACAAAAAAAATAGTAAGATGAAACCCATTAGAAAAGGACGGAAATGTTATAAAATTAAATCAAAAATAATAATTTACGGGCGACCTGTGGTGGGTAATTTAGGGTAAAAAATAGTTTTTCCCTATTTCCGGCAACTGTTTGAGACTTTAATGAAAGAATAATATCATAATAAAGAAACAATAAAAAGTATAATAATAATAAAAAAAAATATTTTCTGAAGCACCTTAACGAGTTTACAAAACGTGTTTTATGGTGATTTAATGATAATATCGAAATGTATAACTCACTAGTACGTAAGGACAGATGCTTAACCATACTGTGATCCGTAACACTAATACACCAGAGAAACACCATAGGCCTTTATGATAGAGAAAATATAAATCTTATGAAGACGTAACTATGTATTTGTATGCTGAGGAGTCTTGGAAGAGTTGCTTGATTTTGTATACGTCGAGTTTATGTACCGTAATGTATCAATCGTGTCTTAAATTGTACCACATAATATTAAGTATTGACAATGTTGACAGATGAATCTTTTTATATGTATATTATTATTTGCATTGAATTTCGTACAAAATCAAACAACGTCTTTGCGATGTGAAATTAACTTAAAAGTACAAAGTACGTGTGAGATGTTCGTTATTGGATCGTAGTGTTGGAGCGATCAGATGCGTGTGTGTGTGTGTAAGTGTGTGCGGCTGTGGTTGTGTGCGTGAGGCCACGCGGCCCGCGTCTCGCTGTGCTGTTTGTTGACACATTATGTATATTTGAAATGAATCAAATTATAAGATAATATGAATTTTATCACCATTGTTTCATTTAATACCCTGTAATAAACATAAACCCAAACATTAAGCACTATTGGCAATTTAAGTATGTATGTAATTTAACAGAACTTAACATATAATGTTCAATATTCCCGGTGGCAGTCGGAAATGCTATGGCAATAGTAATTTCTATTTGAAACTATTCACAAGAAGCCTAAAAATCATTGAATTTAGTAAGGCTCAAATCATTGGAAGATCTAAAGATTTTCCTCTCAGAATCTGTCTGAAATAATAATCTTCCAAGATTTTTCAAACCAAGAGTCACTTAAGATTTGGTGTCATAAGGTAATAATTAACTTAAATGCTGCAAATATTAAACAGGATTACTTAGCAATTAATACGAGGACCTATCTGGTTTAACAGGCACTTCTGATGAATCTCTAGCCTATTTTTAATAAGTCATAGTCCATACATATTATTAGAATTGCTAAAATTGCATGTGTGGACCAAAATTTAATTACAAATAGAGAAATTTTACATAAAATGTTTCAATTTGGATCTGAATACAATATTTTTGATACTATTTTGCATTTTACAATCTATTCTGTGCCTCGAGAATTTTTTATTCACAAATATTAACACATAGTTTAACATAAGTAATTGAATTCTTCTAAGGATTTAAGAAGTTTGAAAATTCTGCAGCCAAATTAAATTAGCAATAGTGAATAAATAAAACAACATTAAAATATTAATCTATTATATTTTCCTATTCTATTTATAATAAACTGAATCTAAATATATTTGAAGACCACATCCTGGTAGCTATCAACAGTCTGCAGTTCCAAGGTCACAGGGCACTGTATCCAATTTGATAGCATTTCTTCTGAATATCCAAGAAGGAAATACATCTTTGTAGGTGAAACGGCCCGTCGGATGATTACAGCCACTCTTATATGATTAAACTGACGTTTTATTATTACCTATAACAAATTATATATTTCAATATTGGATGAAGAAGCCTTACATAAATTAAACCCCAAATGACAAGATTAAGAATGAATCTCACATTTTTATTTCTTTAAGGATTTTTTTTTTTTTTTTTTGTTGACGTAGTGGAAACTCTTTTTACGAGCCGTCCAACCGACCTTGGTGGGGCCGGAAGGGATGTGTGAGGCTCGGCCTGGGCAGGCCCCTACTCACTAAAACCACTGCGAAAGCCATCGGCCGCTATGTCGATGTACCCCGGATCTGTCAGCGACAGGGCACACCAGCGACTGGCCGGTCCTGGCAAAGACCGGACTTACTCCCTCGGAGAATGGGGGCGATCCCGGCAATTAGGACCACCCCGACGACGCCGGGCTTTCAAAAGGGCCGGGTTACCATGCCGACCCCAGCCCGGAACACAAGGGTGCTATTGGAGGCGTAGGAATTGCCTCCGTCGCACCCCCGTACGTCGCCTGCGGGGGGAGGGAGCATCAGCCGCCCTCTCCCTTTCCCGCTGAGATGCCTCCTTCGTGGACATGACCGTCTCACAGAAGGAGGACACCGCCAACCAGGACCCATCACTCTCGAGCATCTTCTCCACGACACTCGAAAGCGACAGGTCCACTCCGCCGAGAGCCGCCACAAGGTCTTGGCGCTGCGCAGCCCATCTCGGGCACACCTCGAGGGTGTGCTGGGCCGAGTCCACCGCAGCGCCGCACTCATGGCAGCCTTCTCCCGGCTCTCTCCTGGCCGTCCGACACAGGTAGTAACCAAAGCACCCGTGCCCGGTTAAGACCTGCGTCAGACGGAAAGTGAGGGGTTTGCGTTTCCGCCTCATCCAACGCTCTAGGACCGGGCGAAGCGCTGCCGTTGTACGTCTACCGTACGGCTGCTCCGCCAGGTCCTCCCCCCACTCCCGCATAAGGCGCTCCTCCCCCTGCCGACGAACCGCTCGGATCTCCTCCGACGAAGGGTTCTCGCCGAGTGTCCTCCTACCCGAGACATAGGAGAACAACTCGGCTCGAACCGACGCCACGAGATCCCAAGGCGGATCGCCGGCAAGGGCAGTCGCTGCGGCCCAGGAGACCGTACGGTACCCCCTAATCACCCTCACCGCAGGAGCCCTTTGCGCAGAGCGCAGCAGGGCTTTGGTCCTGCGGCTCATTGGGCGATCAGCCCAAACGGGAGCACCGTACAGGGCTATACTCCGACAGACCCCAGAGTATAGCCGCCTGCAAGCTGCGCTGGGTCCTCCGAGGTTCGGGAGGAATTTTCCCAGCGCACCTGCCGTCCTCACGACCTTCGGCCCCAGTTCCTTGAAATGAGGCACGAAGGTCCACCCTCCGTCAAGAGTGAGCCCCAGATATTTCATGGTGGGACTCACTCTGACCCTTCCTCCTCCTATGAGGAGGGTGGCACCCGGCGGGGGTCCTTTCCGCCCAGTCCCGCGGAAGAGGAGGGCTTCGGTCTTGTCTATTCTAACCCGAAGCCCCAACCTCTCTATGCGGCTGATCACGAGGTCTGTTCCGACCTCGGCCAGCCGCGCCGCCTCCCTGTAGGTTCGTCCCCGGGATAAGACGAGGGTGTCATCGGCGTAGCAGATGACACCCTCGATTTAAGAAGTTTGAAAATTCTGCAGCCAAATTAAATTAGCAATAGTGAATAAATAAAACAACATTAAAATATTAATCTATTATATTTTCCTATTCTATTTATAATAAACTGAATCTAAATATATTTGAAGACCACATCCTGGTAGCTATCAACAGTCTGCAGTTCCAAGGTCACAGGGCACTGTATCCAATTTGATAGCATTTCTTCTGAATATCCAAGAAGGAAATACATCTTTGTAGGTGAAACGGCCCGTCGGATGATTACAGCCACTCTTATATGATTAAACTGACGTTTTATTATTACCTATAACAAATTATATATTTCAATATTGGATGAAGAAGCCTTACATAAATTAAACCCCAAATGACAAGATTAAGAATGAATCTCACATTTTTATTTCTTTAAGGATTGCAATAATGAAAACAATGGTATTTACTGAGGCTTAATTCCTAAGACTTTTCCTATTTATTACATGGTGAATGAGAATTACTATAACATACCTCACTACATACAAGTCCATGCCATGTTCCGGTAATAAATCTTCTTATAAACTCATCTTCAACTGCCGTCTCTGACTTCCGAAGGCCATCTTTTAAACTAGCTGTAATGAACATTTGTAAACATCATTTGTTTTTTTCCAAATCAGAATATTTTAATGAGAAATTGTAGGAAACACAAGAATAAATTAACTTATTTTCACATTTCAAAGGAATGCATGAACAGTGTATAATTTAAGTAATGTGTTTTATTCAAAATTGCTTTAGGTTGAATGGCAAATGATTTCAATGTTTGTTAAAACTAGGTATAGGTTATATGATAATATAAGAAACAGAGATTAACACAAGACTTATATTAAATATAGTGAAAATCTTACAAGTATTCCAAGAGTTCCAGGATTTTCTATGAGCAATATAATGTGGGGGATTGGCCATCTCATATGTTAGAGGTTTGTCTCGTTTCTTCGTTATCCTGTATTTGCCTGACACCACTCGACACAGAGCGGATGATGTGTGAAATTGGGAAGCAAATATTGGAGACCATTGTGGCAAAATAGTAGCCGACTAAAAAAATATAAATAATATAGGTATAATGCGAAATATAAAAATCATCGAGTTATCGTATTTTAATATATACCTGTGCAAATTTTATGATGTTATTCATGTTTTATCACTTCTATGTATGAAAAATGAACTAATTGACAATATTTATAAATACTTGATTTTCCTATTTCCTAACCTATTACAGCTGTTAGTGTCACATTTGAGCTTTTGACTTTTGTTCTGTCAAATGTCTTTAATATACATATGTTTAAAAATGAATAATATGTAAACTTCAAACTTATATGAGTTAATTATAATAATAAAAATATAAAATCCTATGTTTCTATTTTCACCCTTTTATATGTCCTTACTTAGTATACGTAAAATACCCGAGCAACAATATTTAATTTATTTTTCCATTACCATACAATTAAAAAAGTAGTAAAATTTTGGTAATTAACGCAATAGCTCATAAAATAAAATATCACCTATAAACGAAAACTAATTCTTGTTACAATCAGAATCTTATGAGTATGTGGGTTATTCATTACTTTATTATAATTGTTTCCTTTCATTTAATACATGGTAAGTATTAAGTATTCAAAATATATAGTTAGAATTGGACATTAAGAATATAAAAAATATTATTTTTAAGCACAAAATGAAACAGCTCAAGATGGGCATTACAGTCCTGCATCAAAGCAGAAAGTGCATGATATAGTCGATAAAATAAATAGTATTGTTAAAGATATACAATTAAAATCCAGTCGTGAGAGTAAAGCTAAGCTTTTACAGACTATAGAAACCAAATTAATGAAAGCGGCAAAATTTTTGGGTCCACATGCAAAAAAAAATGTGCAATTAATAATGGAAGGTATTAGAATAAAGACAGCAAACATAACAGATAATGCTAGGAAATCCCAAAATACTTTAAATATTCAAAGTCGACAGAAAACATTAAATGAACTTTCTCGCGAATTTGATTTGTTTATTAAAAACAAATTGGAAAAATTAACAACACAGAATAAAAACACATCGACAAACGATGTAAAAAATAAAAATGATTTTGATTCTAAAAACAGTCTCGAACACAATAATAACACTAGGAGAGCGGAAAAATGGTTTTCAAAAGATGAAGATTTCCGAAAAAGAGAAGTCAGTGATGAGAAGGATAGTTATTTTAAAATGACAGAAAGATCTCAAAGTCGAACAGTTCATACGGAAATATGTAAAGATGTTTTCCCTCGTATTTGCTCTGATGTAAATGTTTTAAATAGTTTTAAATGTCAATATGTCGATGAGTCCGTTTCATTACAAGATCTATGCAATAATTATATCGAATGTCCCGATAGATCTGACGAGAAATATTGTATTAAACATGGTAAGAAGAATTGTGTCCATATATATTTTACATTTTAATTGCACCACCAAGTAATATTGTTTGCCTAGCTTTTAATTATAATTTATTAATTCAATTGTTTTAACATTTAAAAGCTTATTGCTATATATATTGCTTATTTGTTTTTTCCAATTATTCCCGGCTATAGGTCTTAGGATCTAAAACCTATTTTCATGAATAATTTAATAGTGATTTATTTAAAAAAATATTAATTAACTTTTGTAAATTACAGTAACAAATAAAGTAGAGCATGCCAACCGAATTATGACTGATGTAGAATTGTCTTTTCAACACAACTGTTTAGAAGTAGATGACGAAATTGCCTTATTGAGAAAACATTCTCAGGTATTACAGGGTCTCTTACGGACTCAGATGAATTTCAAGGAAAAGTATCAAAAACTCGACAAAACCTTTAATTCTGCTGATACTGGTTCTTCCAATACTTCTGACAGTGTAAATGTAAAACGCAGCGTCAATGATATAGCGCTAACAATAAGTTCACTATCATTAACGTTAAAAGCGGCTTTGTGCTCACAACAACGAGAAAATCAAGGAATATCTGAAGATATATTTGAAAGAAATGTAGAACAAGATGTTAAAGAAGTAATATGGCCTCCAAAGTCCTGTGCGTGTAAGAGAGAACTGTGTATTAAATGCACCGACGCTTGCAAACGAATATGCTGGCACCAACATAGTCTCTCTAGGTGGAATTGTGAATCAATAAACGTTTCTGATTCAGTCTCATTAAATGCCTTGTGTGATGGTAAGATAGATTGTTTTGATGAGAGTGATGAAGCTGGCTGTGATGTTGGTAAGTATTTTTTATTTTATTTACTCTATTATTGACTTTTTTCTCACTTCCTAACATATTTTTTTAGGTACCGGTTTTGGAAAATTTGAAGCACACGAGATATATGGCACCACAATAAAAATGTTGCAATCAAAAGCTTCTAAAAATATTTCGCCAATAAAAATCAAAATAATGTCTCTTATCGATGTGATAACAAAATTACAGGAAATTACAACAAAATCTGGGAACGATCTCTCTCTCATAAAGAAACTCAGAAACAAATGTTTTTCTCTACTAAGTTCGCTGTATTTAGCTATGGTTAAACAGTCACGTTTTGTCAATGAATCGGAGGAAGCTTACTTATTTTTGATGTCCATTAATAAAAATCTGGTGGTTGCTTTGAAGCGATCTGCTACTGGAAATATTAAAATTATAAACGAAAAATGCTATTGTCGTAACGGCTCTTGTGTTGTTTCCTTGTGTCCTAGGAGCTGCGTGAAGTCTTGTTCCGCTGAGTCCAAAATAATAAATTTCAGATGTGAAATCGACAATGTTTCTATTCCACTTGATAATGTTTGCGATGGAAGACCAAATTGTCCCAATGGATACGATGAATTTGGATGTCACAAAGGTAAATAGTTCATTATTTTGAATGTCCTGATGAAGCAAATTCGATCTAAATTTTTAATGTCTATAAGACTAGTTTCTGCCTGCGACTTTATCTGCGTTACTTTTATAATGAGAAATATATAACCAACCGGTCGAACTCTGTTACTCCTTAAAGGCAGTAAAAAAGAACATTTTGTATTAAATATTTTTTTATCCTATATCCGTTTCTTGATTCTAAGCTATCTCTCCACCAATTCTCAACATAACCCGTTAAATTCTCTAGCTATAAGTAACCAACATGACTTTATTTTATATACAAAGATTTCTCTCTTGAAATTACTTACTGTTATATTTTTATGTTCATTATCGAAGACGAGGTCTGTCGTACCCATCACTTAATAATGTTACGTCTAAAACTGCAAGACGTCGAAAAAAAGTTTAAAGGAACTTCACTTGGCGAAATTTTGGCGTCATGGAAAGTTAAGGTATGTTATAAATACATCACTATTCGTATTATTATCATTTTATTCGTTTCATCCCTTTAAATAACTTAAAATAGCGTTGCATATACATTTTAAAACTAATTTAAAAAGCACAGAAAAAAATCATGTACCTGTTTTAATTTATTAATTATATTTTATTACTCAGGTAATATCAATTATAAAAGTAGCAGAAAATTCTGGAAGACCGAAACCAAAGATTATAAGGAAAATAGTGAAGGAGATATTAAAAGATTTAGTTATAACGTATGGTTCAGTCGAAGATTACAGAAGAAGCAACATGGATTATGCGTTAGAAGATTTTATAAACATCGCCCAGCAGGTAATGAGTGCTTTGAAATCTTGTGGAAAATAAACGATACTTCAGAAAAAAATTCATTTATTTAAACAAAGTATTTGAAATCATAAGAAAACATACTCACATTGTCAAAACTTTTTCTTTATATGTAATTAACCTATTCCCAAATAGAACTAATATTTTCGGATATGGCACTCGTTTTATCTTGAATGGTGAAGGTGATCGTTTAACGCAGTTAAGATAGGAGCCTTAAACCTAGGCTTAGGTCGAAAGTCCCAGGCACTGTTGAATCTCTCTGCAACGCGATGGAACTGGGACGCGTAAGGTGAATCCATGGAATGCTAAGAAATTCCGTCTAAATTTCGATTCATTTGCAGTAATCGTGATCACGGATATACCTACTAGATGAAAATTTGTGATTTAAAACATTTCTGTTAATATAAATTAATTTAGGATTTTAGATGATATTTTAAATTATGACCATTACAAAAAAAAAAAATACATTAAAAAGCAAAGATGCTTCGAAATAGTCCCTAATAAGTACTCGAAACAGTGTTTTTTAATGAGATTGTAAATGTCAAAGAAACTTAAGTAAATAAGCGTCTTGCATAAAGTTTTTTTTATATAAATAAGGGTAGATATACAAAATCTCCAATTTGTTTAAAAAACTATTGTCAAATTAATATTTTTTCCTAACATTGACGTCATTTAAAAAAACTCAAGGAACAATTACAACTAGAGTGCCATTGTGCCAGTCCTAGGAAGAATCCGATCATCTTGCATCAAACTGTTCCGAATGTTTTCTTGGAAAACTCATAGCTGTTTGTAGTAAGGATTCTTTGAATCTTTGATCAAGGGTTGCCATGTATCACCAACCAGACAACCAGACAAAAGGCGAGCCGCAAATATTTCGTTTTACTTCCTCTTCCTCACATATCTTTTGAATGGAGTATCCGATTAAAATAATTTAAACAGCAATATAAAGGTATTGAACTACTGTTAAATAAAAAGTAAATTATTTAGATAAGTACAAATACCATGGTATGAATATCGACATCTTATTTTCGTTGCCGATTTAAATAGTTTGTTAAACTATAAAAGTTTTTATATTGGCGTAACTATAATACTTAGATATACACTACCGCGAACTTTCCTGTAGATAATAATGCGGTCAACAAAATCGTAGTACATTATTTTGCTCCATCATCAATAGTTATTGCAGCGCACGCGATTTAAGGTATTTCAATAGTGATTTTTATCGACCGTGGTTTATGTTATCGAAGTTTTCGCAAGGATCCCTATTTTTTTTCCAAATAAAATATTGCCTATGTTACTTTGGAAAGATGTACAATCATAATGGTGAAAGAATTTTTAAAATCGGTCCAGTAGTTTTTGAGCCTAGCCGTAACACACAAACAAACAAAAAAATATTACCTCTTTATAATATTAGTTTAGATTATACTACCATAAGAAAGATGCAATGTAAAAGCAGGAATGTTCCAAATAAAAATTGCCTTTCCATGTTAAAGTGGGATATTTTAATAAAATAAGATTCAATAATTTAAATTGTAACAGTATGTAACACTTGATGAGTTGCTGATAATTTTATTCATCAAAAAAACAAAAACCAAACACTTTTCTTACTCAAAATATAGATCATCAAAATATGCCTAAATGTATGTTACTTCATATCTTACTCGTAGAACGAATTATTCAGTAATTTTCGTGAATTTTATCAGAATACTTTACAAGGACGCCATTTTATTCGAATAATGACTAAAATTTCGCAGACTTCTTCATTAGTCAGACGTTAAATAGTATTAATGTTTTATCAAAACTTTGGGCATACAGAAATTCTTCAAAATAATATAAGGAACACAGTCTAATGCAACCAAATATAATTTTATCGGTAATGAGATCGTAGTACTTAAGGAAGGTAACACAGATAGCGTCGCAGTTGTTCCAAAGACGCGCATCATGGCAGGTGAGTTGATAATACTGATAAGATTGCATTATTTTAATCTCTATTTTTTTCTACAAAGCAATGGCCTCATTCTATATTTTATACGATTCATTTGATTACGATACATTGAATGAGTAACAAAAAAAACCCTCAAATTTTTCTTTACATTCAGAATACCTTTCTAGAATTTTCGTAAATAATCCAAATTGATGTTCTTTACTGTGATAATAATATATAAGACGTGGAATTTTGTCATATGATAAAGGTTATAATTGATTATATGATAAGGCTTGAAATATCGATGGATATTACCATAAATCCACTAACTTTGGATCTACGCGTGAAAAAATATACTAAAAACATATATGTCTTTCATATTAACACAAATATCAGCATTTAAAATAAAAGAAAAGTATAATTTTTCCTTGTCTTATCATCCACAACGTTTGTTCCACAAGTTATTTTCAAAATGCAACAGATCGTAACCTATTTAAATATAAATAAAGTTATAGAGGCAACGTATTATTCTACTTGAAGCATTATAATGTTAATTTACTTTTACAATTCCTTAGAATTCATGAGCCAATAGAGTGAGAAATATAAACACAGATAATCCTCGTGATATACAATTGTTTTCGCTTTTCATGTCTGGGATAAAACTCATTCCTACGAAGCAGTACGAAAGTGATATATGCAACTACGATCACCTTTTTCATTGGACCTCTCTCTTTTAACCAAGTTTATAGTATTAAAGTAAAAAAATCTTCACATTTAAGTCAATTGATACTCTGAAATCAAATTCCACTTCGTATAAAAAACGTGTAAAGTCAAAAAACGTCATTATCACGTGCTTGCATCGTCCTTTGTGATATGCAAAATAATAAAATTTTAACGCAAACATTTCAAATTGACAATGTAGTATTCGAATTAAAAAACCTTATAAAGAATTTAAGTAGAAATACGTTACTTATAATTTAAAAATTATTTCCAGTTTGCAATTGGTACTGATAGGAAGTTGTTGATGAAATTTAAAAAAAGTAATATGTCAAAAACGAAATCTTCTCAGCTATACAGTCTGATTAAATATACATCTATCGGGTTATATGAATGTTCACTGAGATTATGTTGAAAAAATGTTTGATAGACACCAAAATCATTTACCTAAGTACATAACCAAATATCACTGACCTAAAGATTTCAATATTATAATCTTTATAGAGCCATCGTTATTGAATAATAATTTCCATTACACAGATAGATATCACGGTTGGGGGATGCCGCCCCCTCAGGGCTACCCTCAGGGTCCGCCCGGATCCGGGGCCAATCCAAATCCACCCCACATGTATCCATACGGTCCCGGCGTTGTTTTTTACCCGGTCCATCCCGCGTACTTTTACCCCCAATATCCCGCTCCCGCCCCCCCTCCCGACACAGTACACGTTGTCGACGACCCAGTGGAGGTGGTCCCAGAAATGCCCGGTGAAACTGTCGAGTTACCCTGGAGTAAGTTATATCCCGGATAAACATAATTGGGACCTTGGTTTTAACGTAACAGCTACAGCAGATTTCAAAACTAAAGAGCTGGCACCTTCCCTGTAAAATTTTGTATACATAGTAACGAATATTTCATCAGAATTTTCGATGATAAACTTATTAATTGATATTGATTTCGTGGAATTTGATAAATATAAATGGAACAAGCTTATCTTATCCTTAACATTTTTTTAAAGTTTATCAAATAACATACGAAGATACAAGGATAAAAAAACACGTAATTGTTAAAAGTATCTGTAACATATTTTTCATTCACCTTACGTAATCAAACAGGGATGTGTCATCTCTTTATGATAACCAAAAAACGTCTGCCGCAGTTGGGCCAATCCTCTCTATGGTTCCCGTTCTATCCCATCCCTACCTTTTAATATTATATTTGTTACAATATTTTTTTGCACACAGATGATGCTTATACATTTTTGTCGCGATTTTTAATAAAATTTAACCATAAAGAGTGTTGGCCATTGCTTTCTGTGCTCCTTGTATTTAATATAACAATTTTTTTTATTCATTCCGCTATCTAAAGATAAAACCTCGCCTTTAGACTGATAGCGGAACGTCCGATAATATTGACACAAAAGAAATGAAAGTTAAAATAAAACAAAATTACTTTTATTAGTTATCACATAAAAGAGACTATTTCAGTAAGAAATCTTCTAATAAAATTGATATTTTTCATAAATATTTTAGGTACATACCGTTGGGTCCCGGCTTGCTTGAGCCAAAGAAGCATTCCGATGGGTGCTCTCAGAGTGGGCACAGATGCTGATGGTGATGAAATATATGCTGGAAGAGCAAATCACGAAGGAGACCTATTGCCAGCTAAAGTTATACCCTCAAAGAATACTTGCTACGTATCTTACGGTGGCGAAGAAATCCTAAAAGACCAATTTGAGGTAATATAAACTGTAAAAGATCGAAAATTGTATATGTAAGAGAAATTGAGAATTGAACAAAAAAAATATTTACACAAAAAGTACCCAGAATGGCTTTTGCCTTTCAGCAAAAAATAAATAAATATTATGTATGGTTTAAATTATAAAATTTCTACTTCGAAACTTTTTGAAAGTTCAAATCTTGTGTAAAGTAAAATAATTAATGAGAAAATTATTTAAATATACCTATAGGTATATTTATAAAAACATTATATGTAGTAAAAAATAATAAACCATAATATAGTTATATTTCGAAACAATAATATAATTTTTTTGGAAAAACAGTGGGTGTCGTCAAAAACATATTATTGCAATATTAATATCATTTTAACTAAAATAAAGCGTTGCTATTGACTTACCAATATTGTCAAAGAGACACATGTATAAAAGAAAGTCGTGTTAGTTACTCCACTTATAACTCAAGAACGGCTGAACCGATTTAGCTGAAAATTGGCAGGGAGGTAGTTTAGAACCAGGAAATTGCAATAGGATACTTTTTATCCCGTTCGACAGCATTCCCGTGGGACTTGACATGAAACGTCAGTCACTATAAAACGTGGAATAACGAAACACAATTGACAGCTATGCGATTGACGTATAAATGACGTAAATTTAGAAAATCATTGTTTTTCACATGGGAAGTTATAGTTTGTGTGTGTTGGGAAATCATCCGGTTTATTTGTGTTAACGTTAGACCAAAAAACAAAAAATGTGGTTTACAAAGGAGCACTTCAATGAAACGGATAATTTGCGGACACGTATAACGCTTCGATTCGGTATCTACTTTGGATTCACTTTCATTAACTTAGAGAAGTTCAACTAAATGACACTTCATTTTTGTAATCGAAATGAATTCATTACTGTTGTGAAATGAAATAAAAATTTTCCTTTTCAAATATAAAACAAAAGAAAAATTTCTTCATCTTTTAGTCACCAAACGAAATGTTACATAAAACAAAGCCTACTGGAGGCGAAACGAAATTCGCCAGGTTTACTAGTTATGTTATAAATATAATACGAAATAATATTTTTATACACATACATAACTCCAAAAAAATATTTACACTATTCAATACAACTATAATTGTATAAAATTATCTCCAGGTTCTGGTCCCTGCTATGTTCTCGTGGCAGTTCTCCTCAGGAGGTAACGTTCCTCCTGGTGCCGTCGAGGCTGGCGTCACTGCTGATGGAGAGAAGCTGTACTTCGGAAGAGTCACCCAAGATGGCTGCACTACACCTGGAAAGGTAAGATATTTAAAAAAATCTAAACCAGTGTACTTTAGACCACACGACTAAAGTAAAACGTAAGTAGGTTTTAAAGGCCGGCAACGCGCTCTGGTGCCTTCTGGCTCGAGTGTTCATGGGCGGCGGTAATCATCTACCATCGGATTGCTAGCCTGCTCGGTTGCCCCCTATATTATAAAAAAAAAAAAAAAAAAAACTTCTTTCGCTTTATTTATACAGACTGTATTATATATACATACACACATAAAAATTTCCGTTCGCCTCACCGATCACACTTTTTGTAACACTTTCGTCTCCCATTCACCAGCTTACTTCCAAGTCAATTTTCCACCAATTTCTTTCCGCCATTTATAAATTGATACAAAAATACTATACCTTGAAATAGATTGTTGAACTCTCAATTAATGTTTCAGATCCAACAATCCCACGGAGTCTGCTACTATCCTTTCGACGGAGAAGAGAGGAATTCAGCGGACTATGAAGTTCTTGTTCTTTTCTAGATAATCATGAATATTTATTTATTTTAAACATTGTAGTAACCAACATATTTATTACACACCATCAACCACCATAGGATATTTTTCAATGACATAATTATACGTATCAATTCCCAATTTCACTGAGGTTTTTGAACAAGCATCTTCCAAATATATTTTTGCATTTTGTGTACCAGTTTTCTTTTAATATTTCCAGTACCCTAAAACCATATTTAACTTTACAATCAATGTTAAAAGGTATTTTCTTGCTAACAACGTTTTTATTTGGAAAAAAAATTAAATAGTTTACATAGACAGTTAATACAGATAGTTTTCATAGATCATACATATCTCATATCTTTAAATAAGCAAATCTTGTATATATAATTGTACTCTCGGTACAACGATTTTCATGAGATTTAGTTTTTAGGGGTTTCGGGAGCGATAAATCGATCTAGCTAGGAATCATTTTAATAACAAAAAGGAGGCGTTTAAAATATACCTCTTCCTGACATCTATTGGCGATTAATAATACTACTTTTTGCTAATTGCTTTTACTAATTGCTTTCACAACATAACAGCAGATGGCGTTATTAAACAACAGGAAGTTAATGAGTGTTTGTTTTAAAGGTTAGACTAAGAAATTAATTGTTGAAATCAATACAAAACAATATAAATTATTGTTTTGTGTCTTCTTAACACGTTCACTTTACAATGCCTAAACGAAATAAAGAATTACACAAAATAAATACTATTAATTCCTAAATACCAAGCAAATCTCAGTTTCCAGATATTATTATATAAGTGTAAAAAATCTAAAACTAAATTTACATTTTAACACGCTTTTTTATTAGCTTGGGTTATATGTACGTATGTAACGGAATCTTTAAGCTTAATTTTCACCGGTTTCTACAAGTCTGAATAATTTGATACTTTGCATACTTATCAAGGACCGATAACAATGCAACAATTTGATAACAGTTTCCCATTATCCTTATAAGGACCGCCAGGATTAATGAATTCATTTTTAAATCCTCTGTGGTGGAGTGAGAGAGATAGAGCTAGTGCGCCGTGTGCGCGTATCTGCAGTTAGGCCTTTTTTTTTTTTTTTTTTTTTTTTTTTTTGTGCGCACTGGGAAAAAATGCTTTACGCATCCCCTCTCCGTTGAAGACGGAGAGGGGTATGTGGGACTCCCCGGGAAAAGGATTCCCGGTATACCCACTAAAATAACCCAGTGGCGCTCCGACCTCGCCTGACTGGCAGGGGGCTGGGAATCCTGTTTGCGTCCAGCCCCCTGATCTGCAGTTAGGCCTAGGGCTTACTCGTGGCTTTTAAAATTAATTGAACAAAAAAAAACTTCCCTTTAAAATTAATTGAACAAAAAAAACATCTCTTATAGCTTACCGAACTAAAAAAAAAAGAAAATAATCTTGCAATTACAAAGAAATTATTTTAATTCATCCATAAAATTGTTTTGAGGTGATTAACTATGTTTGAACTTCTACTGTAATATTTTTTATTTATTTTTTTGTAAATTAAAATTATTTTCTATTTTTGTAGTTCAGTTAGCTATAATAGCGTGTTTTTTTAACTATTATTTATTTAATATAATTTTCTTATTTGCTTGATAATGCCTGCAAAATCCAACTTAGCAATTCTGTTTTTTTACAACTTTATAATTATAGATTTTATGAACTGTCAATACTTGTTTGAAGTTTCAATTTTAAACATCATTCTCGTTAAGTGGCTTGACATTGGCGCACGCGTCTGTTTTTCTTCAATATAATTTTAATAAAATAAAACTTTACATTTACTATCGTGTGAATATTAAACAAAATGAAGCGACTCATCATCCTTGTTGTGTACTGTAAGTATTTTTTTATTACTTTCCTCAAATGACAACAATTACTAAATTTTTGATTAGAAATTTATTGTGAAAAATCGATTTCGATTTATTCAAGTAAATTAATTTCTGATTTTAATTTGCATAACGATTTAATATTGATTTTAACTGGTATTAAAAATAACATAAGTCTTTAATTAAGAAGTATTCTTAACGTTTGTAGATAATAAACAAATAAGTAAAAGGCATAAATATGTTAATTTTAACGTCATTTAATTTATTGCTTTCTTAATTTTGTACATAATTTTATTTGTATGACAAAAAGGTTGCACTTGTGCAATGTTAGGTAAGGTGTACGTTACATTTATATTCGTTTATTTTTATTTTTCTGGTATCCCTGTTGCCATAAAGTATTCATATTTTTATGATTTAAACTCTAACTAAAATTAACTATGCTATCTGAAAAAACAAAACAAATATAAATAAATAAGCCTAATGATGTAATTTCTTCACTATATATTTAGCCTTAAGGTTCAAAGTTACTCATTATTTTCGAAAGAGATCAAAGAGGGGACCCATATTTAAATTGTTTATACATAAACATTAACCAACTAACTACTATCAGTTATTAAGTAATGACGATTGTATTAACTTCAAATATGTCCAAATTCTTCTCATTGTAGTAATGTAAAGTACAGTTAGCGCCAATCTTATTATTTGTTTATATGATTAACTAGTAGCTAGTTCAATGACTTACAATTTTTTCACTAGCCTAATGTATAAGTAGTAACTTAAATTAAATAGAAATATGTGTTTTAACTTCCTAAATTTATGTTTTTATTGCTTTTCATTAAGCGGTTTTTCTTGACATCGTGAGTTCGTGACATTGCGTTCACGAATGTGTCATAATTTACCTTCATATGGACATACGTTAAAAATAAACAAAAATTATCGAGTCTAAGGAAAACCAAATTTAACATAAAAATATAGGTATATTGGTTTCTTAAATCTTTTTTAACTAAAAATGAATTGTAACTAAAATGAATACTAACATTATTTATACATTTAATGAGCAATCGGTTTTCTAAGTATGTGTACAGAAGCCGTAGTAATAAAATAACATAATATTGTTTAACAACGGCGTCTTTAATGTTGTCTGCACATGCTTGCATCTGTTTAAATAAAATACATTTGGATGCAGTTGAATCAATAATGACAACGAATAATCGTGTTATATTTATATTCGTATATGTTAAAAAAATTAAGAAGTTTTAATAAACAGAAGTTATATATTTTTTACTGATTTTAATTAAAAAGTATAAAAAATATTTCGAGAAGATTATTTACCAGTGAGGTTACTTGACTCTTATACTTGTAATGATGTTACGATCAATATTTTGATTATATTTTCTGTAAGCCGAACTTAGTGATTTAAACACGTCTTCTAAACTGTCATGGGTACTAAATCATACAAGAATACATACATAGAAAACTTGTTTGTTCGAGGAAAACCTTCAGGGCATAATTTTTATAATTCTACGGTACAAATCCTACGCTTTTTCAAGTTTTATCTTAACTTACCTTGTTTAATGTATAACATTGAACATGATAAGTGGGATAAGACTGTGTAATGTGTGGTTAAAAGGATATTATTGAACGTTACTTGAAACGGTCATATCAATTACAAGCTATCTCAGATTACACGCGATATGTACGCAATGATTATAGTTTTTAGGTGAAGTTTAGTTTTTATTATGGTTTAAGAAATACTTATTTTAAAATCCACTAAAAATATGATTGTAATACTGTGTAAAATAATGGTTTAATGCTGATGAAGAGAAAAAATGTATTGCGCTTATCATAATATATAGTATTCGAATATTTCTTTCAATTTCTATATTTTTAATAATATGCAACAAGTAACTCTCTCTACAAATAGAATACCCTTTATATTCACGAATTATTTATAAATGTTGAGAATTAATTCTACGATTTCATCGCTAAGAAATTCTAACTACATATATTAACATGTCGCTTCGTAATTTTTTTAGGTTTTGGAACAGTTTTCTGTGATATGTCAGGGGAATGTGACTTCGTCAGTTTCTATCAGGAGCTAGGATGCACTGCGATCCCCAACGATGACAACTTGACCTGCCCCAAGGAGTTTGACTGTCCAGACTTGCATCCAAACCCTAACATGTGTTACTATAGGTAAAAAATATGCTATACCCATAAATACCACTATACCATACCCCTAACAGAAGGATCGTGAGCAAATCTGGACTTATAATTTTCAATTATAAGTTTGAAATCACCACCTCGTCTTGAGCAAGCGTGTTGATTAATGGTCAAATTTTCTGCATGTGAGTAGAGGCCTTTGCTCAGCATTGGGATCTGATAGGCTCTTATAGAAAAAGACTAGAAGTCAGTGAAACCATAGTCTTTACTATAATACTTCAATTTTAATGTATAAGCTCCAAAAAATCATTTATTTAATTACCATAACAACCTACAGGAATTACGTATATATTGTCACGGATTTGTTTGTTAAATCTTTTCGCTTTTTATTAAGAATCTGCTTATTTACATTGTGTTGTAAGACCTCGTTGTTCTTGGCCTTTTTCAAGTATAATGTTTGCACCGCTTCATCTGCCAAACAATAATGTCGAATGACCTCATGACCGCTGGTTTGGAAACACAGCAACCTTCGACATTTTGTTTAGTTTTTGCATATTATTCATCATTTATTATATTTCATTGAAATGTAACGAATTTTTATGTTCCTTCTGTGATTACGAGATTGCTTTTATATCATAATTCCTAACTAGGTCAAGCTATAAAGCCTTGCTATAAATTTTTAAGAAATTTAATATGAACTGGATAGTAATTGACTAATATTTCTCCTGGTGGTATTTGGATATGATAATCGATATATTAGTGATGAAATGAAAAAGTTTTTATGACAATTGTATCGCAATCATATTCAACATCAGATGCTACTAAATAGTCGTTTTTCTCATAACTCCTATCATCAAATTTGTAATATCATTTACAAATGATTGTATTCAAGATTGCTTTTTGTATCTTTCATTAATTTCTCTCCAATCCAAGACTCCTCCAAAATGATTTCTATATTCACCCAACATTCCCACACTCGTCAATAAATATATACATATATATTATGTATTTTATTATAAATCAAATGAATAAAATTGTCAAAAATAAATCATAAATGCCGCATATCAACCCATGTCATTTATATTTACCTTAGTGATAGGGTTGTATATAAACAAGTTAACGATGATTTTATCTCCGCAACTCGCAGTTTATAGTACATTAGTAGATAACAAATAGCAGTAACGCTCCACTCATCTTAATTTACCTATAGGTTCAAGACAATAAAATATAAACACAGATAGAAGAATAACATTATTTATATTTATAATTTAATACAAAAACCTACATTCATTTATTTCATTTAGCACTTATGTTTTTTAGGGGAGTTGAGTACGCCGATCGCGCGACAATTCCCATGGACTTAGTCAAAAATCCGTGTGCTTTGGGATGTGTGTGTACCATCGACAGTGGCCCAAGATTTGATTGCGCAGCCGTCGACTGCGTAGAAAACTTCGACCCTGACCAACAGGAATGTATTTATACATTTTCTTTGGACTCGTGTTGCAGCACTGGCGAAGTATGTGGTAAGCTTAAACTTTTACTAGCAAACATTTTTCCACCACTAATATCTTAATTTTATCGAACTATTTTTAACATTAAACTAAATTACATTCTTTGTCCTTAAGTGATTATTTCCGCTAAGGTTTAAATTATCTATTGTCTCTAAATAATTGTATACACATGATTATTTATTACACATTATTATGCACTACATCAGCTATAACGAATAACAATACCAAGTTATTTAACATTTATTTTGCAAACATATGTTATAATAGTTTTAATTAAACTTATAGGTAAAGACGCGATAGCCAGTCTTAAGACCTGTGAGGCGGATGGAAAGACATACAAGGAAGGTCAATACTTTGAACCAGCGAATAGCAGGAAGAAATGTGTTTGTACAGCAGACTGGAACGGTTCCTATGACGACCCTGCAACCTGCAGTGACATCAATTGTGGCCTAGAAATATACAACCAAAAAAATATCATGGATAAATGCGCTCCCGTATTTGTTAAAACTGCAAAGTCTTGTCCATTCTCATTCCAATGTCGTAAGTATTACATTCGCTACACATTTTCAATAGATTATAATTATTTTTGTATTGAATATTTATGTGATACAATTATCAAAGCTGGACGAATATTATAATACCACTAACTCTGACGAAATATTTTAAAAATCATGACAGATTAATCTTTACTTGATCAAAATCAGTAAATGAAGGCCATATGTAAAATAACCAACCAACATCAGTAAATTTATCTTCAAACATACATTTTATCTCTCAACAATTCACGTCTTAAAGATTAGTCTTAGAAATTTTTATCATCATAATTTTCGAACCAAAAGAAATAATTTGTTTACTTTTTGAATACTATACAAAACTATATTTTTCTTTCAGCTTCCGCGAAAACGAAAATCATCAAAGGTATTAATCTCCGTGGGATTCAGTCACAGTGTGTTTTCGGTAACTTGACCCTCAATGTTGGAGACGAGGTCGTTGGTGACGACTCGTGCACCAAGTGCTCCTGCGAGGTACCACCCTTCATGACGTGTGTGAAAACGACTTATAGTTGTCCTAATTGATCTTATTACCATCCTTTTTAATTCTTCTATAAAAAAACACTAAATTATTTTGTTTTAGTGTAGTTTTTGTTCTATAAAAAAAGTTGTTTAGAAGATATGCTCTAAATTCTTTTTTAAAACTCTTAAGTCGTAATTATAATATTTGTATCTGTTGTAATATTTAACTTGTTTAAAAAGTTTGGTTATTTCACTATCTAATAGGAAAGAGTAAAAGAAAGAATAAATTAATGAAAAAGATTTATTACATATATTTATCTAAGTCAATCTATCAAAAGTTATATAAAAAAATATCGAAAATAATAACTAAATGTATATACAGTTATGTACAAGGAACACAGCCTATCAGATCTTTGTAAATTAATATAATTATAATCTATGTTGTGACGACTTAGAACTTTAAGTACTTAAAATTAATTGTTAAAGATATATTTATTAAAGTTAATTATTAATTGATTATGTTTTATTCAATTAAGTCTACAATTCCATTACCTAAATATAATTTTACGATATACTAATACAATGTTCACTAATAATTATTCTTCTTAATACGTATAATATAAATCGATGTATAATGAAAATGCTACTCTGGTCTAACTTAAATATATCTAATAGGATTATATTGAAAGGAATATATTTTACTTCAACAAAAAAATTATCTTACCTAATACATTTCATAGAAATTAATCAATCTGCTTCGTATAATTTCATGGAATTTTTGAATTTTTTAACCACGTACTTAATGTCTTTAAGTAACTTTAAGTAACCTCGTCAATATTCTTGTAAGGAAATATAGAGAGTACCAATTATTAACGAATGTCAAAAATAATTTAGGTAAGACTGTTCGTTTGGAAGTCTTGCTAGTTTAAGTAAAGCAAGCCAGTCCTAGTTCAATCTTGAAAGCCTGGTCTGTTCTGGGCAGGTCTCTTACAGCCACATCCAACACTGGCAGCCGGCCTGGTTTATCCGTCTCATACTGGATTATAGTTTTGGACCAATCTTGAGATTTAAACTGAAAGATATATCAAAATATTTCATATACATTACAAGTCCAATATGTATATTCCTAGATTTAAGAGAAACATATTTTCTTTTATTGTTTACGGTAGTAAATTCAAAATTATATGAAAAGGAAAATGTTTACTTTCTATTTGTTGACATGATTTCAATCAGGCAATATTTTTTTGTCATTTATGTCATTTATGTTTAAAGAATGAATAATATACGCATTATAATTATTATCATAACATTATGAATATTCATAAAAATCTTCCCATACAAGGGAACATTAATTTGCCATAGATGCATGTATAAGATGTTCAAGGATGCAACGAAATCTATTTCCTATATTGATTTTTACCATTTAAATTATATTACCTGACACTCATCTATTAAAGCCTTATATCGCAGTCTATTATTGGCCTTAGGAAGGATCTCTGCATCATTATAAGCCAGTAGTTTCAAGCCATGTTTGTAGTTCCTAGTAGCAGGGTCATAGTAGCCAACAATATTTCGACAATGAAGTGTTATATTCTGTACCGCTTTCACTGATAGCAGTTGCAGATATGTCAGCTGACTGTGCTCCGCTTTGTAAGATATCTGATGATACAATATTTTCAGTTTATAGTTTATACAGGGTGACTGGTGAATTACTATCGATACTTGAGGACGTGATATCATATATGACAAAATAAAAATTAATCTAACATAAATATTAATAAACTTCTAAGTAAAGTTAACCAAAAGTTATGTAATTAATTACGCATCGTGTGAACACCCTACAGATTAGGTATAAACACACACACACACACAACGCGTGCGGCGGCGTGGTGTTGTATCAGCACGCCGCCGCACGCGTCCACACTTGGAACACTTGGAACGTGTCCACACTTTATTTATTTATACGGAAATTTGGCCAAAAATTAAGTACCTATTTTATTAACATAATTCGAATGAGAATCATGTACCGAGTATTCTCCTTAAATATTGATAGTAATTCACCAGTCATCCAGTACGTTAATCTTATTATTTTATGAAAATCTCTAGATACAAATTACAAAGTAAGTTCTTTGTTAAACTTACCGCGAATCCATTATCCATCTCACTTAACCACGCCTCGTTTCTTTCGGAGTGGACGAGTTCCTCTGACATCATTGGCTTTGGAAATACGCAGCTAGCGCCAGTACTTAAATCGCAGTGTACCAAAATCGCATCCTTAATATCACCACCGTTGGGATCTATCCAGTATTGACCTGATAGAAGATTTATATATATGTTATCTTCATACTTATCAATTCTAAACTGATATTTTAGATATTTTAAATTTGTTTGAGTTGAAAAATTTATCAATAGCAATAGATAATAAACGAAATTTAATTCTACCGAGGATTAAGCTGCCACTTACCACTTTCAAATTGAGGATGATGGTATTTGATATCCCCACATGTCTTGGCTGGTGCTTCCTTAGAGCCGTCAGGTTTTAAGAATTTGTCCAGAGAAACTTTGAGTCTTTCGTACGCTTTCATAACAATACTTTTCCTCTCTTCTGGTGACATATCTTCTTTGAAGAACCTTGGCGGCATTATGTTAGGATCATCGCCCATTGGATCCGGACCTTTTACCGTTCCTTAAATACAATTTCCATATTAATATACATTATGATTTTATTATATGGATTTTTAGGTTTAACAGTAGCTTTAATACCTTGTTGAAGCATAGCAGCAATAGCGGCAGCATCATATGCTAATCCTTCTCCAGGAGGTCCGGGAGGTCCAGGAGGTCCGACCGGTCCGATTGTTCCGTGACGTCCAGGCTCTCCTGGAGGACCACGACCTCCTGGAGGACCTAACGGCCCTTGAGGTCCAGGACTGCCATCACGGCCAGGTGGTCCTATTAAAATAAAGTCATTACAAAATGTTCTAAATATGAAGGAATCAGTCTTATTGCATAGTCTTTCAATTCATTTTATTCCTCAATCGTCAAACTAAGCTGCCGTCTATTAATTGTTTTATAAATCTGTTTATGAATAAATTTATACATTTTAAAAGTACTCAAGTATATTTAATACCTCTCGGTCCAGCGTCTCCGTCCTTTCCTGGCGGTCCCATGGCACCTGGTAAACCTCTGTCGCCCTGTCTTCCTGGAGTACCTATCATACCCGGGAGTCCAGGCAATCCAGCGTGACCTTTAGGTCCATCAGCGCCGTTTTCTCCTCGCTCACCCTTAATACCATCCAGGCCAGGCGGGCCCTGCTTCCCAGATGGACCTTGAGGTCCTTCTATTCCAGGAGATCCACTTTCTCCTCTAGGTCCTCTTTCTCCAGTGGCACCAGGAGGTCCGGAGGAACCTGGAGGTCCCTATAAAAAGAAGTCTAAGTGTAAATAAGTTTCTACCAGAAATTCATGTTGTTTGTAAGTCAAAAAGTTTAATACAATTTACCTGTACGCCTGGAGGACCTGGTGGGCCAGATTGTCCTGGTTGTCCCATAGGACCTTTTTCACCCTGCCGCCCTGGAATACCAGGCTGACCTAGCTTGCCAGGACGACCTTCCGGTCCAGGCTCCCCCATTGGACCAGTCATTCCTTGTGGTCCAGGGGCACCTATGGGACCTGGGGCACCGTCAGCTCCTGGTTTACCCGGAACTCCACTTTCTCCCTAAGAATATTACATGAAGAATATAATATTATTAAAAAAGGTTATCCAGTTTTATGAAATATAAATGTAACTTATATGAATGTACCTGCACTCCTCTTAGGCCTTGTGGTCCTGGCGCCCCAGTTAGACCTGGTAATCCACTTGGCCCTCTTTCTCCAGCCTGTCCCGGCGGACCTTGCTGTCCTTGTGGTCCAGTTTCTCCTTCAGCTCCTCTTTCACCTTTTGGACCTTCTGGTCCTTGTGGTCCGGTTAACCCTTGAGGTCCAGGTGGTCCGGACCGTCCAGTATCTCCAGTGGACCCTTTAGCGCCTGGTATACCAGGAGCTCCTGCAGGACCCGGGCTTCCTTGAGGACCCTATTAAATTTTCAGGTATTATTTATAATTTGCATAACTTAATAATCTATTTTAGAATAGTATTCGATTTGGAATAGAGTTTACAGTAATAATGAACAAAACCGTCTATTCAACTCTGTAAAGAAAATAATTACGCATGAAATATTGTTGATTCTCCCGTAAATCTTAACATTCTTAACATTCGGAGAGGAAATATGATCCCGCAATAATATCAGCTTACGTTTATAAATTATGTAAAAAATAAAATACTAACCTGCGGCCCCATGTCACCTGGCCTCCCTGGTAAGCCAGCACGTCCAATTTCACCTTTATGTCCTTGCTCTCCATGAGCACCCTTAGCTCCAGGTTGCCCTGGAAGACCTCGTTGTCCCGGTTCACCAGAAATCCCTTGATAAAACAAAAATATTTATTATTGTAGAGGTGAATCGCATTTATTTTTCGACAAAGGATATTACTTAATTTTGTAAAATAACTAGGGAATAAATAATAATATATATTTGAACGTAATATTAACTTAACTTAATATTTATAACATAGTTTTAAGGTGGACACGCAACACCAAAATTTTATTGATATGAGTAAGAAATAAAAAACTGTCTTTGAATCTTTACAAACGATTGCTAACCAACTGCACTAATATTTTTAAAACAAGTTATTAGTATAATATTTTTGGTCAAAGAACTTATAGTAACCTGGACTTCCTTGAGCTCCTTGTTGTCCTTTGGGGCCTGCATAGCCTCTATCTCCTTTTAAGCCTGGCATGCCTGTTAATCCTGGAGGTCCAGGTAAACCGTTATTGCCCTGTGGTCCAGGGTGACCCCGTTCTCCTGTGGACCCCGGTGCTCCTGGTTCTCCTGGCATCCCAGGTGTTCCAGGTTCACCTCTTTCAGCCGGCTCTCCAGGTGGTCCAGCAGGACCTATAGGACCTTGAGGTCCTTGCTCTCCTTGGCGACCTATAACATTTACATAAAAAGAAAAATGCATGATACTCTCGAAGTGATGTCTATTTTCATTTGAATACTCAAAGGAATAAATTAAATTACCTGCCGGCCCTTCTGGACCCTGTGGTCCTGAAGATCCTCTCTCCCCCTTTTCACCTGGCAAACCGGACAAACCACGAATTCCTGGTAATCCCATAGTGCCCATTGGTCCTGGATGTCCCTTACTTCCACGAGGACCTTCCGGGCCCTAAATAAAAAATAATAAAAATAGTTATAATAATAGTTATAATAATATTTTCCTGTTTGAACGTTTTTACAAGTACTTACCGGTGGACCATCAAGACCCTGAGCACCTGCTTCACCCTTTTCTCCTGCAACACCTGGTAGTCCAGGACTGCCTCTTTCTCCTGGGAAACCTCTTTCACCTCTTTGTCCTGTAGCTCCTGGTGGTCCAGCAGGTCCGGACACACCTGGTTCTCCATCTTTACCTGCAGGACCTGGAGACCCAGGTGTTCCAGGTAAACCCTAATAATAAAATACCATTTGATTTTCCAAACAAAAATTTTGCAATTATACGTAATTATAACTATAAAATAGTAAAAAAACAGATAATAAATGCTGCACTTACAGGAAAACCAGTAGGTCCAGCAGGCCCTATAGGACCGCGTTCTCCAGTTGCACCGACGGGGCCTTGCGGTCCTTGACTTCCTGGACTGCCGTCTCGACCGGCGTCTCCTTTAGCACCTGGGGCTCCAGGTTGACCAACATCGCCATCTTTACCATGTTCACCCTAATATGATTGGAATTACATTAGTGTCTGTGTGTGTATCTCTGTCTGTGAAAGTTGTTTTATGTTAATTCATAGCTAAGAATAGCTATGTTTTTGTTTTTATGCTTCAAGAGTGTAAGAGTGTTTTCCAAAAAAAATCTAATGCAATTTTGGCCTCTGAATACTTGATTAAGTTTTTGAAAAAAATATACTTCATTAATGATTATTTTGTTTGTCGTACCTGCAAACCACGTTCGCCAGGACTTCCAATTAAGCCAGGTGGACCTTGAAGTCCTTGTAGTCCTTGTTCCCCAGGCCTTCCATCTGCACCAGGTATGCCTCTTTCGCCAGGTAGACCAGATTTACCTGGGATGCCTGGTCTGCCCATAAATCCTCTGGGGCCGAGAAGTCCTTGAGGTCCAGGTCTGCCAATATCGCCGGTACTGCCTTTTGGACCTGGGAGACCAACTGCTCCTCTTTCCCCGGCTTGACCTTTTGGACCCATTGGACCGTCAGCGCCATTCAAACCTCTTAATCCCTGTAATCCTCTATCTCCTTGTGGTCCTAAGTTTCCCGGTGGTCCTCTCAAACCTCTTTTCCCCCTTTTACCCTCAGGTCCAACGCTTCCTGGCATACCACGTGGACCTGGTGCGCCAATTTCACCTCTTAAGCCAATTTCACCCTTAGGGCCTCTATCTCCCGGTTGACCCTAAAATTCAAATATATACAGGGTGACTGGTGAATTACTATCAATATTTAAGGAGCATACTCGGTACATGATTCTCATTCGAATTATGTAAAAAAAATAGGTACTTAATTTTTGACCAAATTTCCATATAAATAAATAAAGTGTGTACACGTTCCAAGTGTTCCAAGTGTGGACGCGTGCGGCGGCGTGCTGATACAACAACACGCCGCCGCGCGCGAGTGTGTGAGTGTGTGTGTATACCTAATCTGTAGGGTGTTCATACGATGCGTATTTAATTACATAACTTTTGGTTAACATTACTTAGAAGTTTATTAATATTTATGTTATATTAATTTTTTTTTTGTCATATACGATCGTCAAATATCACGTCCTCAAATATCGATAGTAATTCACCAGTCACCCTGTATATATCGTCAATGTTCATATTACTAAATAAATACTTTGTTTATAATGTTAGGTACCACTAAGAGTCGATTTTATAATTACTTTGGACAAACAGGACTAGACGGACCTTAATTAGAAAAAACTAAACGTACGAATATTTTTGAGTTTTACGTCATTGTATATACCTCTGCATAGTTTTAAATTCGAGAGCACAATAAAAAAATATATTTAAATAAACTGTGTGTAATATAAATATCGGCGCTATCAACTTTAATAACGGATGCAATTTGAGGCTGTCATCAATTCTTATTAAAAATCATTAGTATTCATGATTATTGTTAAAATTAAAACGAAATCAAAGATTGTTTAAAAGGAGAATAGAACTATGTTTAAATCTTGGTATAAATATGACGTCTGGACGCACGACGGCAGAATTCAGATATCAGAGTTCAGTGAGTGCGTGTTATTGAAGTATGTGATTATGAAGAACCTTCAATAAATACAGGAGCATTAAGAACAATTGAAGCTTCATTTTAAAATAACATGGAACGCTCTAGAAGAAGTGACATCTAGTGACGTCAGCGCGGCTGGCGTCTCTCTCTTTAAAAACAAGGAATCTGCAATAAATCCGATATACAGGGTGACTGGTGAATTACAATCGATATTTGAGGACGTGATTTGTGACGATCATATATGACAAAATAAAAAGTAATATAACATAAATATTAATAAACTTCTAAGTAAAGTTAACCAAAAGTTATGTAATTAATTACGCATCGTGTGAACACCCTACAGATTAGGTATACACACACACTCACACAGACGCGGCGGCGGCGTAGTGTTGTATCAGCACGCCGCCGCACGCGTCCACACTTGGAACACTTGGAACGTGTACACACTTTATTTATTTATACGGAAATTTGGTCAAAAATTAAGTACCTTTTTTTTTTCATACCTAATTCGAATGAGAATCATGTACCGAGTATGCTCCTTAAATATTGATAGTAATTCACCAGTCACCCTGTATACATATGTATATATACATTTCTTGAAAAATATTACACAGTTCTTTATTCAATGTACTGTTCTACTATTTCATCAATCACATTAAATATGAACGACAGGATTGGAATAAAATGCAGGATAAACTGAAATCTAATTAAAACTCATTAAACGGTTAATAGCATCGTTTAATCCTACTTACTGGCATTCCCTTCGTCCCTGGTAACCCGGGATCACCGGCTACTCCTGGCGTACCACGAGGTCCCGGAAATCCTTGAGGTCCAGCGGCGCCTGTTTGACCTTGTACTCCTTTTTCTCCCGGCGTGCCATCTCTACCAGCTAGACCCGGGGGACCCACTTCCCCTGACTGACCATTACGACCCGGTTCTCCTCGTGGACCTTGCATTCCTTGGCTGCCTTTCGGCCCAACTGCTCCTTGTTCGCCCTTCAAGCCGGGGGATCCAGGAAAACCAGGTGCGCCCGGCTTTCCGATATTACCCTATAAGAGTGGTAAAAGGACAAACTCATTTGTGGTTAAAGAACTTTATTTCTCATAAAGAACATATATACAATGTCCACTTAAATGAGATGTATTACATAATTCAATTCAACCAACAATTTAGTACAGTAGCAACGACTTATACAACTCAAGAGTGGTTAATCCAAGTGCTCCCTACAATAACCCAATAATTTCCTTCTAAAAATCGTAAAGGTTTTTTCATTAAAAATTTCGTTAGGTAAGCTATTATATAGTTCCGCTCCCTCAAACTGTATAGTTTTAATTCCGTATTTGGTCCTGGTCTTGGGTAATTCAAGTTTGTGTTTATGTCTCGTATTATGTTTATATGTTTTAGTTTTAAATGTTATTTGTGTGTGTATTGTTTTTGTAAGCATTTTTCTAATTAATATGAATGTTTTATATTTGTATAACTTGTTTCTATTTATATAATTCTTTAGTTGACATGTAATAATCTAGATGGAATAATGTTTTTAGTAATTTATTTTGCGAAATCTGAAGATCCTTTATATTAGTTTTAGATGCACTTCCTCAAAACCCAACAAGATATTCTAATAAAGGTTTGATAAGTGAGTTATATATTTTAATACGAATCTTGTGTGGTATATAACGTGATGATCTACGTATGGCTCCAGTAAGTCAGGTTATTTATCGTTAATAGAGTGAAATTTTGGATTTTCTTATTATTTGCATGAAAAAGCATGTTAGAGGTCTTTTCAATATTTATAGTGAGTAAATTATATTGAAAACATTCGTGTAGTTTATCTAAATTCTTCTGTGCTTTTACTAATAGACTTTCTATAGAATCCTCAAAGTAAAACAAACAAATATTTAAATTGTAATTTACAAAATTCCATAACTGTCGTTACGTATATAAATTTTAAATCTTACCATAAGTCCCGGTGAACCTGGCGCCCCATCAACTCCTCTTATCCCCGGAACTCCAGCAGGACCTTCACGACCTCTTTCGCCTCTCGGTCCAACAGGGCCCTGATATTATATTTAAACATACGATGAAATTAAATCTTCAAACAAAATTATTAGGTTAGTGAGTATGAATATAATAATATACAATAAAAAAGGTGTAAGAGCTACGTCTCACTTAGAATCATTATTAACACTTTCGCGGACACAATGTGATAGTACGTCTTGAGACTTAGATACGGCACAACGTATGGTGACGTTCAAAAACAGAATGTTATATACGGCAGACGGTTGATATACAATCAATTTTAATACAAAAATTCCTTATATGGTACCTTGTGTCACAACATATCGAAAGATCAAAACTTTACTGTCACGTGGACTTTGTTTCTAACCGTTTCCAAAATGTGCGTTTGACTAAACATCGCCATACTACACACCGACGCACACCGTGTATATACGTCCTCCGCGCCTTACCGCGTCTATACATTCAAACGTGATAACACGGTTGTGTCATATTGTCTTATAAACATCTAATAACATAGAACACAACGTGATTAAACGCCAAATATATTTGTATGGCAATTTATTATGTCATTCTGGAACACAATTTAAACTGAGACTATCCGTGAACGTGTTAAAAACTTTTAAATTTATTTATATAATTTTAAACATTAAATCTCACCGCGGGTCCAGTCGGTCCCATAGGTCCAGGTAGGCCAGTAGGGCCCTTTTCTCCGGGCAATCCTTGTTCGCCCTTAGCACCATCCTTGCCGTCAAAGCCGCGATGTCCTTTCAATCCTTGAATACCGGGTATCCCCGGACTACCTCGTGGACCTGTCTGACCGATAGCTCCGGCTGGACCTGGCTCCCCATCTTCTCCCGGTGATCCCTGAATTAATACATGGATTAAGTTATCTAATTTTATGTAGTCGTTTTTGCCTTTTGGTATTGAGATTTATAGTTAAACAAAATGTCTTACATCTTTCCCGGGCAGTCCCTGAGGACCTCTCTCACCAGCAACTCCTGGTGGTCCGGGCAATCCAGGCTCACCGGGTTCACCTCGGGGGCCTTGGAATCCTTGAGGGCCGGGTGGACCTTGAGGCCCTAAAATCATAGAAGATAATAATCAGTTACATTATTTAAGTTATAGTGATCAATTTAAAATAAAGCACATATCTGTATTAAAATCTCAAAGTAAGAGGTAAAGAGTATACAAAATTTAATATACCTGGAATTCCTCTAACCCCCGGAACTCCCACAGGTGCTTGCATGTAATGATATGGATCGAAGGCAGGACCTTTATCACCACCGGCGGCCGCCGCTAACTGAGCCAGGTAGGCGTTTACCTTTCAAAATATATATTTTTTAAATAACTATACACTATTTTGATAAACAAAGTTATGTATGTACCTTCAGATCCGTAAATCCATTGGTAAAAGAAAAACAGTTTCATTTGTGAGAATTGTTACTGTTCAATTTAAACATGTCGTCGTGTATTAGGAATAATCTATAGTTCTATTCTATACGAGTACAATTCACTTGTTTTAAAAATTTCCTTTTTTAAATACACTACGTACCTTTTAAAATGAGTAGTATGTATGGCAATAAAGTATAAATATAAAACCCGTCTATAGTGTGTGAAGTCTTTATTGGAAACAAACTTTAAATCATCCGAGGTAGAAAGAAGATATGTGAATTTAAAGAGAAAAAGACTGAAGAGTAGAAGACACAGCGTTGGTTTACTCGTTTTAATAATAGTGATTTAAATCTTGAAGATCATTCACACTCAGGTCATTCACCTTTGTGGAATATTGACGGTATAAGGGAAAAAGTAGAAAAACAAAATAGTACGAGCTCTCGTCGATTATTATCAGACTTCGTTAGCATTTAAATGAAACTAATAGTTTCGGTTACTTTGCAACAGCCGTGATGACAAGCATGTATGTATCTATTTTTAAAAATAATAAAGTACGCATAGTTATTCGATATTATTAGTTTCATTTAAATGAATACTCGCGAAAGCTGTAGATCACATTACTTCCTCAGCATACCACACTTGAAGGTTTCAAATCATTAGGAAAAGTGTATAAAAGTTAGCAATAAGTGAAATACGAATAAAACGATATTGAAGCGAAACGTCGTGTGGAAGTTTTTAACACCTCCTTGCCTTGCCAAGACGTGATCGTATTAAACGCATTGTGACTTACTTTAGATACAGTTTCACCAATCAATTTTTGTTTAATCTAATCACAGCATTTACTAACCAACCTTCACAATTATAAATGTCTGTTAAGATATTTACGTCCCACAATGACAAATTAACAACGGACTATTAAACGTCATGTCAAATGACCGACTACCAAATTATTCGTTCTTGTTAGAAGACGACCAAATGGAAACTATAGCGTTTAACACGGCACGTTTGCCACGATGCACCACTATATATTTTGATCGTATATATCCCTCGATACGTCACTTGTTAGTTAATGCGACCAAATTTTATATATCGTTGGTTGCATACATTTGGCACACAAAAAGCTTTCTTTTCAATTTACTAGGTGTAACCTGTCAAAGTCGGGTTGTCAATAAATTGTGTTTTATATTATTATGTTATAAATATAGGCATAAATTGTGTTCAAATTATAAGAGATACTCGTAAAAAGAAAATTTAATTTGCAATGTTATAAAAAAGCTGGAGGCAAAATCATCATAGGAAATGAAATTTTAATTCACTGTATTAATAAGTACAAGGAAATAGTCGAAACTGACAAAACAGATGACGTTACTATGGTTACAAGAAATCAGGGCTGTGATTGTACAATTGAGTTTCGACAATGCATTAACATTTAACAGTCATGTTAGCCATTAGACGGAGTTCCAGAGTAGGAATTAATATTAGTGGCTGGTTAAAACATTTAAACGGACATTTGTGCGTGGTGGGACGCTCGATACATCTAACAGAGCATCAAACGCCTTAACACGATGTTACTTATTTAACCATGATTGGTGAAACTGGGTCTTAATATGACTATTTAATTAACAAATTGAACATTGGAAACCGACATTATTTATGAGATAATTCAATCTTTGCTTTGTCTTTTATGTCACCACTTACATCAGGCATTGGCCCGACAGGCCCTGGGATGCCAGGTGCTCCAGGGATCCCATTAACTCCAGGGGTCCCTGGGGGTCCGGGAGGCCCGTCGGGCCCAGCGTCCCCAGTCATGCCACGAACTGGTGGAGATTGAGGCGGTACCAAAGGCGTTGGTGGACGGACTGTACTCGGACCTTCAATTATAAGTACAATAAAATTATAACATATACGTATAGGAATACTTATCCTTTTATAATAATACAAAATACTAAAATTTTATTGTAAATAAAGCTTATTATTGATATCAAATGGATCAATCATTAAAAAAGTAATTCTCTGATTAATACAAGAAGGGAAAAATATTTTTTCACAAATTTAATTTTAATAATATAAAAATATATACATATAATTTCTTGAGTAGCATTAGAAATATTCTCATCTTAAAGCTTACTGGAGATACATAATTATTTTAATTTTTTAACTTACTTATAAGACAAGATGGCAATACAGAACAATTGACACGAGTGTTGTAACACTGACAGAGCGTGCAGTTGTCTCTTTTCCAGGTTTCCCCTTCAGAGAACGATCGGCCTACGTCGAAACATCTGCTGGATGGCACTGTTGTCATAAGAAATAATATTATAAACAAATTGTTTCACAAATAAAACATATTCATTCAAAGTTCTCTCGTACACATCTCAAACGATTTCTAAGTTACCTCTATTTATTATGTATTAATGTTTTTTCTTTAATATCTTTTTAAGTAATTTAGTTAAATGAATATAAAAGTAAAGAATAAATGTATGTATGTGTATGTGTTAATAGATATACAATATTAATAAAGACCCATTTTTTCTCGTGTGTATTTTTCAATCGTTTCTAAAAGAGAAAAAAAGTGTTCATACCTCTCGTTGGCGGCGCGGGAGGACGACGAGTCGGAGTTGCTTTAAAATAAAAATAGAGTACTTAATAATAAATAATAATTAAATTTATTTAAGTAAAAATTACAGTAAAACTTACCAGTGGTCGATTGACTGAAGTCTCTTTCAGCAAGTATAGCTGTAAACAAAAAATATTTTAAGTTCAAAGATACAACAAGAAAAGACAAGGAATCACTTCAATAACAATTTCCTCTACACCAAAGATAGAACCCAATATAAAGAATGTCCTCAAATAAATATAAAAGGACCAAAGATAGTTCAAGTTATAAGGCGTATCTTCAAATAAATATAAAATGAACATACCATTTTCATCTTCTCCAAACGGATTGTAATCATCATAATTCACGAGATCTGGTTCTTGAGCTTGGGGCAGTTCTTCTCGAACCTCTACCAGGTCCTTGCAAGCCACCGGCAGCGCCAACACTGCCAGGCATGCTACTGACACTTGCCACATTTTACCTGAAAATTAGACACCACTAAAAAAATTGAAATAAATAAATATATAATCAATAATTGGTCGACAGTTGGTTATATATTTTAAAATAGTTTTCATTTCAACAAAATCTAAGATTCAAACATTTAATTAGATACATCGTGTTTGTTAAGATAATTAATATGCTGAAAAAAAAACATGTGAAATGGCGAAATTTCTTAAAAATTAGAATTATCAGTGATTAAGAAATCAGTATCTATTCCACTCATTAAATTTTCATTTGACGCGTTTCCGATCCTCGTGTATTCTCTTAAAATTATTCCCAGGAGTCTAACAAATTCTTGTAGTTATACAAAATTAGGGCAACACCCAGAGAAATGCTATATCCAATTGTTCCAGTGACCGTTTTGAAGTGACAATGTGAGCATATGTTTGAATAAAGTTGACAGAGTCAATTGGTGGTTATAATTAATTTTAGCAACGGTTCGACGCTATGTTTATTACCAATTGTATCTATAACATTCTCACCTACTTTATATTTTGATTTATTTCGACCTATCAATTGTATGGAATGCGATGTTTTAAATTGTTCGAATGCAAACGACCTAATGAAGCCATTTTGATTAATAACATATATAGCCATTTCAATTGGGTTAGTTAAAGTATTTTTTGTGGCTAGCAACTATTTTAATCTAGCTATGTATGTATTTTAATTAAATATGGTCCAGTTAATATTAAAGATTAATTGTGATCACGGCTTCGCTCTTGTACAATATGTTCCACTATTTAAATTATATTCTATTTTTGTCATTGGTATTCCTTTTATTTTAAAAACTATATGAAATTGAAAATTGTAATTTATTTTAGATATTTATAGTTAGACAATAGAAATTATACATAATTTTGTTTTATTTTTGTGATTATTTTTCGTGGTTAATATTTTCTCTTTTATTATGATTTTCACAATTTATAACAAGAAACAGTCATGCTATAAAAGTCGTTTTAAAAAATGTTGATTACAAAAGTATCTCTCATTTTTAGTATGGAAATCATTATTATTTTACTATATTGCTTTATTTCTTTTTGCTAATTTCAGTATGAAAATTTACCGTATCATATTCCAAAATTGTATAAAATTATTTTTAAATGCCTACGTAATAAATTTTGGATTATTTTTGATGAAACTGCTTACAAACTCACTGATTAATGCTGATTCCCAAAAAAGGATTGATGTCAGGCAGGAGGCCGGTCGTAAAAACAATTGGCCAAAACTATTCACAACATTTAAGGCAGACCCTGGCTATAGCCGGGAAATTGCCAGCTAGAAGAAACTGCTTACAAACGGTTTATTTGATTGATAATTTTGATTTTTTCTTTTTCATAAATTACAAATTTAAATTATGAATAAGTTATCAAAATCTCGTTTTTAAGACCATTATTTCTGCAATTGTTACAAATCTCATTTTTATATATATTCTCTATTCCACGGAAGTAAGAAACTATAAAATATTTTTCCAGGAAAATCAAGTTTTATATCGTCATAAACGTAATTGGAATTTGGCCGTAGAACACTTTATAACAGAAAATGCCAAATAAAACAAACGTTTTTGGTAATAAGAAAATGTCTTTAAGGATTTTTACTTTCGTTTCCACGTATCTCTAACTCGTTACGAACTTTCTGATTGTATCTTTGAGATTTCGAGAAAACTTTAACGTTTAGAGAAAGGATACTACTAGTTTTAAAGTAACCAACTTGAGATCTAACAATTCAGTATATATTTAAAATCTAACTAATTATCAAATGCCATCTAAATTCTGTCTTACAGATAGTATTATAAAGTAATAAAATATAATAGATTCTTATACTTAGATTAAAAAGTCTGTATTATAAAGACAGTTCTATGATAATATGAATAATTTTATAATAAATAAGGCCAAATATCAAGTTATATTTAGTCAATTATAAACATATATATTAATTTTTTATCTTGTTATTATTCATATAAGACTGAACCAAAAAACATTTATTGTGTATCTGTCTGTCGCATTTTTTCGGCTAATTCAGATGGAGTTTTACTTAGACTATTTTTAGTTAATTTTTTTTTCATTATTATAAATGCATGCAATTTATATTATTTTACGACGAAGTCACGAATAAAACCATTTTGTAATGCTTATATTAGTATTTTTTGTAACACAAATACATATGTTACATAAATTCACTAATCTTAAAAATGGTAAGAGTTAAATATTATAATATGTACAGTTTATGCGTAAAGTTTAACATGCTTTTTTCAGTATATTAAAGTATTCTCACCTACGTGTTGTGCGTAAGTAGCGCGGCCGCCCGCGCGCCACAATAGCGCCTGAGATACCGAGGTACCAATAAATATGCGCGCACGCATCAACTATACGCACCGAAATCTAGGAATACAGGAGTTCGGAACATTTATATCTTATTCTACGATATGATTAAACAATAACGAAAGTTCAACTTCAAACAAAAACTTGAAATACTTTCTTTTCGCCACTAAAAGTCATAGCGAATTATTATTTTATTACCCTTTATTCATATTCAATAAGCAGATAAAATCGTAGGTTCGTTGCAAATTTGTTTAAATAGAGAGAGGAGCTTGGACAGTGGAGGTGAGCGTTTAACGCGTTAGATAGGGGCCCTTTAAACCTACACCTGGGTCGCGAGTCCCAGTCACTGTTGAAGCTCCTCTCACTACAACGATGGACCGAAACCCGCATGGTGAATTCATTGAATACGGTGAATTTGACGTTATTATACCAAATGTTAAGCATCCCATCATATAGAATGTAGGTCGTGATCTAATGTGTATGTGTAGTTCACGAAACCAATTCTTAGACAAACGACACTTTTTAATGTAAGGGTCAACGTAACACTCCATCTATTAAATACAATCACAGTACATATCGATCATAGAATATTTGTTTGAAATAAAATAACCTGACAATCATAAATTAAATATAATATTTTAAATGTATTTATATGAAAAATATACTTAAATGCATTTTAATTTCATCTTAAATTGAACTTATAGGAAATAAATTTTTTCGTTATAAACGCATATTTGAAATTATGAATACCATGTCTAAAATTATGCAATTGAAATGATTAAATAGAAGATATTAATCTAATGCGAATAATTCCATATTAAAAAAAGTATCTAAATAATACATATATAAAATAAATATAAATTTTACTCTAAATTCTGCTGCGAATATTACTCTTAGACACAATCACATAAAATTTAACATAGAAATAGAGAGAAATATACTCGGTGACACGAGAATATTGGTTGATTTACGATACATTTATCTACATTGATCTAAATTCTATATAAATGAAACGAGCAACATACGAATGAAATCATTTAAATTTTGCAGTAATATCATTTAATTTACTTATTTTAATTTAATTTGCAAAAATAGTTTTAGTTTATCTACAAAAGTACTAAGCGTTCCTTAATGTCATTTCAAAATTACACAGCTACTGTCTAATTACAAACTATAAAAGTTACGGAGAAAATGAAATTTTTATTGAATATTAATTAGTTTAATTATTAGCCACAAATAAATAAAGGTTTGATATAGCCAGCTAATTTGCTATAACTACGATTAATACGAAAAACTGTCTCAACTAGACAGTCCAATTAAAACCGAAAAACAAACAAATTTCTTAGATACAGATATTAATTAAAAGATTGTTGTACCATAAAAGCTATGCTATTGATAAGCTATAAAATTAGAACACTATATTCAAAGTGTCACTTCAGTTTCCCTAAACTACTCATATTTTATAGCCTATATAATCCTTTAATTTTACTACTTTTGGTCATTTAAGTTGAAAGCTTAGAAATGAGATTTAAATGTCTAAAACTAAATGAGAGATTTTGACAATGTTACCATATTAATGTCGCATTAATATATAAAAAAATAAACTCTGACGGTGTGAGATAAAAATTAAATATTACTGTACAATGGGCTTTATGGTTGCGGAGCGCTGAATTCGTTTCTTTATGAAGCAATTCTGAACTGTCTACTAAAAATATTTGAATGCCATTTTGCTACGCTAATCTTGGAAGGGATTTTAATGTATTTATATCTTTAAATACAAACCTTTGATAGTGTCTCTTAATAGTTTTCAACACTGATTATGTCTTACACTTTGATGTATTGTCCTTTGATAACTTTAAAAATCTTTACTGAAGCCTTTCACAGAGCTAAACCACGTTTTAAATGATAAATCTACGTTAATACTATATGTTAAAATGTGTTAATGAAATTCTGAAAACCATAACAAATCCGTCAAGAAAAATATATTTAATTGTATTGCTTTAAAACCCAAAGTTATTGTAAAAAAACAATCATATTATTATCTAGTTCATCATACATACGATCATGGGTTAAATTCAAGTGACATTAACCCGAATAGATCGCCCTTCGAAGGACACAACAATTGTCTCAACCGAAGTACTCCACTGAACCAATTCTCGACTCGGCTGCAATTGATACATGACATCATATTTGATTCAGAGAAATCTGTTCATTATTTATTACTACATATAATTACTACCAGAGAGTAGGGTAATAAATAGAAAGAGGTTACGTAATTGTAAGGGTTAGGTAAGGATAAGAACAAGGTTAGGTAAAGGTTACGAAAGGGTTTAAAGGGAATTGGAAGTTCGAGAAGGATATTTTTCATCTGTTCAAATATAATGGACTATAGAAATAGAGCTTGCCGTTACTAGTATGCTTTCTTTTAAGGAATAGAAAAGAAAGAACAATCGAACTTGTTATAATATAAGAAATTATAAATTAGTCTTCTAATACTGCAATATTTCACGTTAATAAGAGAGGGTGGTACAAAAAGATCAAGCGTCAATACTATAGGTAGTATAAAATAGGTTTTATACATATTTATAGAGACCTAAGTAGATTCTACTTACTTCAAAAAATGTGCAAAACTTATTTACTGTTTAAATAATTTTATTATAGTATTTTAAGTTGTTTGTTATGTAATAATGCGTTATGTAAAGGTTTTCAGATATTTAAATAAATCAAAAATCATTAACGAAATAATCCTAAGTTGCAGTGTAGTGAATACCTATAAGAAGTAAATAAACAATAATATTATAAAGCAAATATTTCAATTACAAAAAAAACAAGTGATTCTGCATCTACATTATAACAGATTTTTAAAAAACTTTAGGATTTTCAATTATTTATTAGAATAATAAAATAACTGCATACAAAAGTATAATCATATTAAGGAATCTTCTGCAAAATGACGTATGTCACATAAATGTTAAAAGAAGAAGCCTATCAATTCTTAACGAACTATTCTATGTCCCTTATTTCAATTGAAGCCTTAATATGAGTACACTTACCAAAAGTTTTCGTCGTCAAAATAAATACCAACAGTATAAAGTGTTATTCATACCTACATACGTCTACCTATTACTAACAGGAAGGATTTTTTTTAATAAAAACCTAGAACTAAAGATTTGACTTAAAGTTAAATCTTGTCTTATTTTATAAAACAGAAAATCAATATTCTTAAACACTCAAATCTTAAGGCAAATTGGATGTATGTATGAACCTTACAAGAAAATTACGAAACAAAATAAGGATTAATGTATTTACACATATTATAACACCAAAAATAATATATATTAGGGTTATTTAATCACATATATACATATATTAAACATAAAATAATATGATTCATCCAATAATAAATTTTCATTTTATAAAAGCAAATGGAAGTAATGTGTTTTAATATAACAATAAGATATGACAGGTGATATATGCTCGCTGTTTTTGTGCCTCAAACAAATTTTACGTTGAATAAAAATGTTATATTTTATTATATATGTAATTGATACCCTTTTACCTATTGTTTTTTCCTTTTTAATAGTTTTTATAAATACGAAATCAAACATAACTTTTTATGCATCTTGTAAATAAATTTTGATTTCAAATAATACTGATAATTTTACCACGCACATTTCTCTTTATTAGATTATAAATTTTCGTACAAGTTACTTTTCATATCAGAAGTAATACATTCAAGGATTTTGCTGACCCGAAGAAAATCTTTGTGAAAGGAATGTTTCATTAAAGGATTTCACAGAAAAATACGACCCTCATTGGTGTTTTAGTAAATATTAGGATAGGATAAATTCGCTCGGATACTCTGAAAATATATACGAATGTTATTTGCCAATTTGCCAATTGAATTTAGCCTTCTTACTAATAAAAGAGAAAGTTTGTGCAAATGATTGTTATCCTGTAAACAAAACTTACTAATTGGATTTTCATGAAAAGTAAAGCACATCATTCAGTAGAATAATATAATATATTGTTTAAAACTTATTACTTCATTCCATACAGTAATTACGAAAACACAAAAAAATGTTGCATTTTGAATAGTAACATGACATAAGCGACATAATATGTATGTCTTAAATTAAAAATACGTCATTCCTTACCCTCTAAACCCAATTCAGACCCAAATGAAATCAACCACAGCGAACAAAACAGTTTTCTAGATTATGTAACATTATTAAAAATTCAAAAACAAAACATTTTAAAAATTCTCACACACATGATGTTGTAAATTGTCATTACATTGTATATGGTATACAATGGACATCGTTCAGTGAATATTAATACATACTTACACCCTTAAACTTGGCTCAGTGGCAGAGCGAAAGCCTTACACAGCGCGCGCGTGAGCCTTCAAAGATAAAACATAGAATTATCTAATAGTGGTATTGGTTTTCCATAATTTATGTAAAATGTACGGTTGGTTACTCGAAAGCGTGCAGCATTTTATTGTGGTATGTTTTGATTTCAAGATATACTTATTAATATAAAATAAATAAATAAGTATTTTTGTTCCGAAATATGAGATTTAGTACAAAAAAATTATAAGAAAGAATAATACAAATGAAAGAATATACAATACTTATAATGATAATCTATTTTGTTTAATATTAATGATTTTAAAATTATCAGGCGTTATATTTTGCTCGATCATTAATGCATATATAATTAATTTTACTAATTAAGCTATATAATTTGGCTAATAACATTTTAATTTTCTTATATATCCCTTTATTAGTATACAAATAAGTATTGAAAGTGATAAAAAGTAAATCAATTTGTTCATGAAATGTATCTTGTAGTTAAGAATTTATTTATGAGCAATTTGGTTCTAAATAACAATTGTATTTACACATTTTCTTAGGGAGAGAGCTTAACGCTATATATATGTATACTATGTTGCTTTCGTAAGCAACGTCGGTCGCGTTAATGAATGGCAAATAAGACTTAAATATTACTAATAAAGGCTTTGCGATCAGAAATATTACCATGAATTAGGAGGCAACTATATTATATTTGTTCAATTATATAGTTAACAAAATATATTCTCAGATTAATGTACATAAGAAACTATATAACATAAGAAAGAGCGTAAAAAAATCTACATTAAATACATCCTTCATCTCTATACTTGTATAATTCGTAACGTATATATGAATTCAAAAGGAAAACAACTACTTTTAATACAATTATTACTGTATTGTTATTGCTTTCCTTATCTAGCAAGGACGCTATTCATCTATAGATCATTAAACTCCGCGTGTGGTCTAATAAAACATAATAGAAATATATGGTACCCAGTTGTTAAAAAAATAATTGTGATTATAGCAAGAATGTGGAGAAGAAATATGGGAGACGATTCTCAGGGAATCTGGAGCCAGGAACACAATATTTATAACGAGACAGGTGAGTTAAAAAAAAAGGACGAAAAAAATTCACATTTATAAATTTTTAAGCCAAGTTACCAACTTTTTTGGGGCTTTTTGAAGAAATACGTTAAATGAATATTAGTTTAAATATACTTCTCACCTACATTTTTTGCTCTACAGCAATATCCAGATGCGCTTATGTTACGACTTGCGAGCGCGCTAGCAAGATTTTTAACACAAGATCCAAACAGTCCCTGTGTATCTACTCCTAGCAGTCCAGCGCCAAGAAAACTCTCTATTAAATCAAAACCGACCTGGCGAAGTTCTTCCGTGCATGGTGACAATAGAAGCCAAGCCTTCAAATGCCCTATATCAGCAACAAATGCTCTAACAGCAGCCACAAAGAAGGAAATCAATGCTTACACTTCCTCAGAAGAAATACGGTCTCCCACACACATTGGTCTTTCAACTGACAAAATTAATGAAGACCCAGAGCCCAGCTTACCTTGTCCAATTAATGTTCGGGATCGTAGAAGTTTAGGAGTTCATTTAGAAAGATTAAGAGATATTGAATTGAACACAGAAGAAATTATACCTGAATCTGATAATGTTGAGGCTTCAGAAAACTCAGACTGCACCTCTCCAGTGCCAGAAGTTTCAGAAGGAAGACGAAGTTCCCTAAAACCGTCTTTAAGAAAAACCAGTTGCACAATTGACTTGTACCGTCGGCGTGGCTCGGGAACACCAATCAAGCAAAGGCTGAACAGCCTTAACTGTGTCAGCGCTGAAAAACTAAGTGTATTAAAAGAGAAGTTCAGTACAAGTGATAAGGTCATGCATTTCTTCGGACGGTGCTTCGTCAAGTTCTTTTCGAACTATGGGTAAGTGAAGGAGCTTTCCATCCATCATCCATCATCAACCTATCAGAGCCCACTGCTAAGCAAAGGCCGCTTCTAACATGGAGAAGGTTTTGATCATTAATTACCACGCTTGCTCAATGCAGGGTAGCGATTTTAATTTATATTTAAGAACTTAACTTATATTTGAAATTATAAGTTCAGGTTTACTCATGATGTTTTACTTCACCGTCTGTCAATGATGTCTAAATACTTTTAGAAAGTACATATGTCTCGGACAAATGACTTTTGTACTTGCCAGATTTCGAACCCTTGCCCCCATGCACAGCGTTTGACCTCTAGGGCACCACGACTATGAATGAATGAGCCTTACCTCTTTTATGATTACAGCTTCTTTATAAAGTATCCTTCTTCAGTTACGACACCATGATACGAGCTACGGGTCGTTACTTCTGCACGTTCCTGCAATCAGTGGACAATATTCACCAGCGCATGCGTTTCACGTTTCCTCGCATGAGATCCCCCAGCATGCAACTGACTCGTGCCCACATCCATGGCGCTGAACTGGTATATAGCAGTGGCAGGACAGGATTCACACACTATCTTATGGGTAGACTTTTAATATTACACAATAATTCAATATTGAATCAAAATGTTTCAATGAAATGAAACGATATTTTAAAAGTATTTTATACATATATGGCTGTTTATTTAAATTTAATTAATATTTTTCGAATTATACTACGCGTATATTATTATTCTAAAAACTACATACTCCCGACGCATCGGTTACTTTTCAGCAACCGTGATCACGCGTAGTTTAATCCGAAAAATATTAGTTTCATTTAAATGAATACGCGCGAAAATCTTAGATCTCATTTTATGTATGTTTATCCAACAGGCCAGTTATACGAAATAGCCGAGGATATTTTCTCACTTAAATTGAAAGTGTCTATAGTGAAAGAAAGTGTGGAGGGAAATTATTACGTCGCTGTGTTAAGACTCGAGTTCGACAATAGTGATTATGTAAGTATTTTTTTATTGCTTAAAGCTGGTGCTTCACTTGGCGTTTATTTGTTGTGTTCGGCCAAATAAGAACATGTCTGGAGGATTAATTCGTCTTCATGTCGCATATTTGCACAAATAAGACACATACACAAATAATTAAAAGGTGGTAGAGCCTAGCTGTGGTCAAGTGATTACAGCTCGAACATGGGCTGGCTCGACCGGGGAAGTACCACCCTCTCACAGAAGATCGGCGTGAAGTAGCCTTTGTGGTTGCGTTTCGTCCGGTGAGTGAGAGAGCCGGTTGCCCTTTCCCTTTTCCCATCCTTTCCTACCCTTCCCTTTTTCCTCCCCTTCCCATTTTTCCTCCCCCTCTTCCCAAGTCAAGGGTGGTGACACATCCGCAACATGTCTTATGTCGCGGATGTCCATGGGCGGCGGTACCTACTACCTCCATCAGGTAGACCGTCTGCTCGGTTGCCCCCTTTTACATAAAAAAAAAGCGAAAACGCGTAAAGACGTTTTGTTGGCATACCAAGTGTGGATATCATGTTTGCGCTATTTGAACTACGTACAAATATTCGGACAAATGCGGCGAATACGCAACGCCAAGTGAAGTGCCACCCTTAAATTCGATAACATGTTAGAAACATTGTATTATTTATAACAGTCATATAATGACACATAGATTGATAAGATCATAATCTAGTTAAAGATAATATTAAATTTGAAAAAATATATAAAAATAAACATGTATATAACAAGATCTCTTACAATCAACATGAACTTTTCTGTTTTAGATTATTTAGCTCGTATTTTCTTTAACATCTTATTACTAACGTACTAGTTACTACTTAATAGATGCAATTTTTAATTAAATGGAAAATTTTCTTAAGTTTTCATTCACTTTTTTTGGGAAAGAATTATATACTACACTTAAAATAAACTAATAATAGTAGCAATTAAAACTTGAAAACGTCATGATTTTGCAAATAAAAATGTGATACGTTATATATTTTTCTGACAATTGATGAAATGGAACGAAGTTTTATAATAACGTTAGAATATAAAATAAATTTAAAAACATTATCACTCATACAATTAACTTAAATAAATATACCTACTATTTTCATTATCTCCAAGGTCCAATCGTTAATGCATCGTAAGTCCCTGCCATGCCTCCTACCAGCGGTGCCAGCATGTCTCCTTCTTCAACTGTTTCCATTTGGAGTTCTCTTGGATAGGAAAATGAAAATTATGCAAGCAGGAGATAAGGTACAAAGATACTTTTATAATCACTTAAACAATATTTAAAGTATATGAGTCCTTTTAACCTTTGGAATGTATAATATGTATTATTTGTCTTCGTCAAAATATTAATATTAACTGTTTCCAATATCTTTATATTATTACTTAATTATGATTACGAAATAAGTCTTTGAGACTACAATAATTAATAATGGCTATAGGTGTAAAAGAAATTAAAAATGTAAGGATACTTATTATTATTATTATTATTTGAACATGAGTATAATAGATATTCGACATTTATTTAAGTAAAATTGTTGTACGTTTTCAGTTAATGGAAGCCTGGGGAGGACCACACAATAGGATTTTAAAATCATCAATCAATGAAATACTTCGATTAAGGAAACCTAAAATCACTTTCACTTGGGACAAGGTAATAAGAACCATTGGATACATTGTTTATGAAACATTTTAATTACTACAGTTAAAGTTATATAAATGGAAGTAGATATGGAATCTCTATATAATTCCTACTTTTATGACATAATACTAAAACACTTTCTATATTTTGGAGGTCTTGATTCAGCTACAAAAGCCCACAATTTTTTTACCCCATATATAAATGTTTTAGAAGAATAAAAAGGGTATATCTACTCAAAATTTCGAGCAACACGACCTATTACTGTCTCATTGAACTATCCTAAACTAAATAGTTTATCCAACGACAGATCTTTTTGCTTCATATTTTGCTTAAAAATTGATATACTAAGGTTATTTTTAATAGAAATAAAGTTAGCTTTTATTATATTTCAATAATTATATATTCATGTTTAAGGGAAGAGAGGTTAAGTGTATGTTATGTATGTATCTTCGTAGCTTTTTAATAGCGTGACTTCAAGCACACGCCCTTCCCAAGAGTGTCTAATGGTAATTGAAAATGATATTGCTATTGGTTTTGTTATAGGCGAATGGTTATATGTATTGGTATATACATCTACGCATATAAAAACTCTAGTATTCTGCATATTTTTCCAGGTTGTATGTATGCAGAACATGTTATTTGAGCTGGAACTGATGCGTTGGCGAGCTCGTGTGATAACTGACTCTCGACGAGGCTCCCAGGGCGCGAGAGCTGTGCTGCTTAAAGGTCCTATATATCTACTGGAAGAAATTGACGCTTTGATATTTTTGTGCAGTCCCATGTTAGTATTGATTAATATTTTATGTATGAAGGAATCGTAAAGACGGTCGAAGTTATATTTATAGGCATATTGAGACCAAGACTAAAAAGACAGACGTTAAAATTATATTTTGGTTGTCGTTTTAAAGACGATTGGGATTAAGAAAACAGGAAAAATAATAGGATTACAAGACACTGTCATTCATTGATATGATAATGATCTTATAGTTTCTAGATAATTGTTCATAATGTAATTTATTATATTTGAGCCATCCTCTTTACAAAATATTCATTATCGATAAGAAAAGTTTTTGACAATTTCGGATAAAATTATCTTTGTATATAATTATTTCAGATTCAATGATTTGGAAGAACTTCGTCAAGCTGGTTTGTATTTAGCTGATATGAATGGACACGGTCTCTCCAAGGAAATGCTTTTACAGGGTTGGCAGCATCTGTCACGTCTTGAATTGCTTTTCGAAAAGGCTGAAAGTAGAAGTCTTACGTTGGAGAAATCATGTAGACTCCTAGATCAGTGGAAGAAGAGAGGTGATCAGTTGTTATATTCAATGATACCTAAAGCTATCGCTGATCATTTACGTGCGGGGAAATCACCGATGGCTGCTTGTCAGGTAGTTTAAAAAAGACACTTCTTTGTAGTAGACACGGTACAAAATGTCATATTAGCTTCCATGCACTATTAAAGGCTTTAATATTACTTCAAAACTAAAAAAAATATTGACGACGAAACAGAGAAATATATTAGGAAGATAGTCGTAAATAAGAACAGTGCTGTTCTGAGAAGAGTCATAATATATGTTCTTCTTCTTCTTCCTGGCAATTTCCCAGCTTTAGCCAGGGTCTGCCAAATAGGGTCGGTCATAATATATGTTATCTTCTAGAAATTCGACTGCGTTACAATAATGTTTTGCGGAATTCCTGTAACTGAGGCCGGTACACGAGCGGACGTCATGCACACCGTGGGGTACATGAACGATGTATACTCCAGAATAGATAGACTGCTTGACAGCCATCGTGTATATAAGGTATGTTTGTTACGGTGTAATGTAATGACAAATTAAAACAAATGATTTAAAACCATACACCATCAATGTTCTAAATGAGGTGTAATTGTACCACGTTATGATAAAAATATTTTTATTCTGTGTGACTTATTTTTTATACATTTGTATATGTTAGTAAAAAATTTTTTTTATACTTAAAAAATTCTTGGCATTTGAAATCAAGTATACTTTGTACTGAATTTATCTAAAGCAAATGAATATTTGTTAATTTTATAAGCCAAAGATCTACATAATTTCCAAAGCAAACGAGAATCCTGAGAAACATACAAAACCTGTGATAATAAAATCGAAAAATAAATGTGACAGAAAAATCAATGTTTAAAACTTGTTATTGTCATGATAACTGTAAAGAATGAAACTAATATTTATCGGATTATACTACTCGTATAAGGGCTCAAGTTCTCAAACCGTCATCATCCTATCAGAGCCCACTGCTGAGCAAAGGCCTCTTCTCACATGGAGAAGGTTTGAGCATTAACTATAAAGAAGTGTTTTAAGAGTGTGTACATATCGTATAGGTGGAGACAGTAGGCACAGTATACATGGTAGTGTCGGGTGCTCCAGAGAGGCGCCGTGGTCATGCGGCCGCAGCTGCCAGCGCAGCCCTAGCCGTCTCACGAGCCCTACCTGTCCTTACTATTGGTAAGCATTCATTTTCTTGGAAAATCTTAATGCCTAGTAAAGTCTTCTTCTTCTACCTGGCAATTTCCCAGCTATAGCCAGGGTCTGCCTTACATGTTGAGAATAGATTTTGGCTATTTGTTTTTACGACCGGCCGCCTGCCTGACATCAACCCTTTTTTGGGAATCAACATTAATCAGTGATGTCTAATTACTCTTAGAAAGTACATGATTCGGAAAAATCACATTGGTACTTGCCCGGGCCGGCCCCTTAATGCCTAGTAAAGTATTTACAACAAAATATTAAGTTACATGACATTATAAAAGAATACTTTTTATATTAATCATTTACTGATACTCAACAAATTTCATTCAACTGCCAAAATTTTGGTCATTATAATACCAGTTCAAGTGTTTACATTTAAATGTAATTATTTTTATACTACGCGTTGATTTTTTTATATGCATATGTATCTGTATGAAAGGTTCGTCTTATATACCGATTGATGTAAAGGAACCGAACCAAATAAAGTAACTATAATATATACCGTAGATATTAATAACAAACGCATTGTAGTCGAAATACTTAGTATCTTGAATCCGTAAAACCTATTCAATTTCGTTATTAGAGCTGGGTACGCATGTTTTATTTGTCCAATTTTCTAATTATAATATCAATTCTACTCTTATTATTATTATATTTGTTAAACGTTTAAATTATGTAATAACAATGTACAATAAATATATCAATAATATATTTTATACAAATATTTTTGCGACGGTTGTACAATGTAACTAATGTTTGTGTATTACTAGTCGTACTTTCTTATTTTTAACTACATACTTCCGACTTTTTGGTTACTTTGCATTAACAAAAATACGCGTAGTAATCCGTAAATATTAGTTTTATTTAAAAGAATAATTTAAGATCTCATTATGACTATTGAACAATTTTTAAAGATCTTATATCGATTTATTATTTTAAGGAAGCCATAATTATTAAATTAATAAATATGAAAATCAGAGCTAAATCCCATCAATGTATTATATAGTTTGAGTTAGCTATCCCAGTCTCAGTGCTAAGATAATTAATTATGCATGCATAGGCTCCTTTAGATGTGAAACTATTTTTATTCCATATATATTGAAGCAATATTTATCAGTCTTCGTGTTATATACAGGGATCCACTCGGGTCCGTGTGTGGCCGGAGTCCTAGGGCTGCGTCAACCGCGGTATTGTCTAGTCGGTGACACTGTTAATACAGCCAGCAGAATGCAAACAACCAGTGAGGTAGGTGGCAACCCTCAAACAAATTAATCTGTTTTAATGATAACAGAAAAATCAGGTCTATTAAGCAAACTAATATATATACTTATATGGGCGCAAACAGCATTAATGACGAATGCAAAATAACAATAACTTGTGGATGTCATCAATTATTATAAAAACTTATTGATATTCAATATTATTATAGGTAAACGAAACTGACTGTTGTTTAAAAGGAGAATAGAATTGTATTTGGATTTTGGTATAAATACGACGTTTGGATGCATGACAGTTGAGTTCAGTGAGTTTTGATTATTGAAGAATGTAATTATGAAGAATCTTCGAGAAATACAAAAACATTTAGAGCAACTAAAGTTTTATTTTAAAATATCGTGGAACGTACTGAAAGAAGTGACATTAGTGACGTCAGCAATGATGGCGTCTCTCTTAATGAACAACGAATTTGTAATACATCCGATATATACATACTCATTAACTGATACTATTATGTATAGAAATGAACGAAAATTTACATATATAACTCATCAAGTTATGCTATTATGTATAGAAATGAACGAAAATTTTACTTTTAATTCCATTTTTATAGGCGAGCCGCATTCAAATATCTGCAAAAACGGCAGCCGAGCTTCCAGCCGGCAAGTTCAGGCTACGAAGACGTGGACTCATTAAAGTTAAGGTAAGACATTATATAACTGAAGACAAACAAAATATCTGACATAGCAAACCTCGTAATAACCACAAAATAAAGTGGCCATCGATCATGCACTAATGAAACCTTATTAAAAATACCTATTAAGATAAACACTGAAGCGTTTAAAATCGATTTTCATAAAACATAAATACTCTAAGTCGCAATAACTGCGTTGCAAATTAACCAACTATTAACATATGCAACATGAACCGGCTAGTTTTAATGGTGTTATTACGCAATTAATTTTTACATTTCCTACGAGATTTGTAAATTAAATCGATTTTCTTATTAAAACTAATAAAGTACTTTCTAGAATGTTCTAGAAAGTTCTACAATTGTTCTGTATTTCTTTAAACAAAGGAATAGTTATTTTTCAGTAAGTAGACTTAAGTAACCTTTTTAGTAATAGTACTTTGATATAATCTTAGTTTTCTCCAGTCGTCTCAAAAGTTTTGAAAGTGAATTCAAAGTGATAATTACTTGTTAGTTTCGTTTCTTTTAAGTTTTTTTCGATATTAACGATTCATTAATGTTATTTTTGCTAGAAATTCCTTATAAATTTTTATTTTCCAGGGTAAAGGCATGATGGAGACCTTCTGGCTTGAAGGAGAAGTGGAGGAAGAAGACCAGGTTGAGGCTTTACAGCTATTTTCAACTCTTTGCGGAGATAATTAATACTAGCTTTTTGCTATTTTAATTACATTTCTATCAAAAAGACGCTTCCACAGATTATATAAATAAAACCACAGAGTAATACTATACAATAGTTTAATATCAACAGATAATTAAATTCGTTTTTATATTTAACTTGTTTTACATATTTTTTTATTTACATTCCTTATAATATAGTGCAAAATATTAATGTAAAATTATAACTTAAATAGATTTTACGTTCTTACGGATTTATATTTTTAACAAAGATATAAAATGTAACGAAATGAAAAAATATATTGTGCATAAAATACATAATAAAAAAACATGTGATTGTAATATTATTTTATTAATTGTATGAATTCGATTGTAAAGAATAAAATTTAAAGTGTGAAATTTAAAAGTATTTGAGCAACGACGTACACAAGAGGTGTTCGATTAGAAATTAACTTGAAATACATAAAATAAACACATCAAAATCATATATTTATATCCTTTTTCGTACAAATTAACACGTTACTTAAGCATCGGTAATAGTTGTGCAAATCGCTAAAATTGTTCTACATTATATAAATTGTATTTTCAACTACCATAGTGTTGGCACTTATACTAGGACGGTGATAATGATTGGAAATAAACATTATATATATGAAAAAAACGTAATATCAACATCGGTATTGGGATAACAAAGCTAAGGCACTGCATTACAGATAATACGAAACAATAATAAAAATAACTAACAGTTTAACATATATTTGATTTCAAGATAAGTACATCGCTTAGAGTTATGTATAAATATATTAACGTACATTGATTCTCAGTCTTCCTAATATAATAGTTACGGAGACAGACGTACCCGAAGAATGAATATTAGTATCGTGAAAAGTCATCGAAACGAAATACAATACATCTTACACGATCATAGTTAAACCTTACTGAAATACTTTTAGGTACTTATTATATGGGAATGTGTCTTAAGTCTATCAAATTACTTCTTAAATATAGCGGTAACCTCTTCGATTGTCCTATTTTTGGTCTCCGGCAACTTGAAATACGTGAACGCGTAGAATATTATCAATAATACAGTGAATGGCAAGAAAACGAAGTTACCTAAGGCATCTGATAGAGGTATAAAGGTGAGGCCGACTATGAAGTTGGCTAACCAGTTGACAAGGGCGCCTACACTGACGGCAGCACTCCTGGCGCCCTGACTGAAGAGTTCAGACAGAATCATCCAAGGTATCGAACTTGGTCCAACGCCGAAGAAACCGACGTACAATAACGTAAATATAACAGCAAATACACTCATCGTTGTGTTATTCTCGTAGGTAAAGAAAGCTATTGTCATTAGCACTGAGAAAACTGTCATACCACCCAGACCTACCAACTGAAGCGTACGTCTGCCGAGACGATCCATTAAAGGTATAGACACTAAGGCCATTATGAACAACATACCCCCAACTCCTATCGACGCCAATCTTGCATCCCTGTCGCTCAAACCAGTTTTGATAAAGATAGACGACGAATAGTATAATACAGCATTTATACCACCCAGCTGTTGTGAGAGATGCATCACTATACCAATGATCATAGGTGTGCGTAAGAACTTGATGCGTATTAAATCAGAGATCGAGAATTTCTGTTCCTGTTTCTCTGCATGGTCTTCATCGTGCATGTCCTTGATTTCGTCATTTATGTCGGAAGTTCCACGGAGATTGGACAACACTTTTCTGGCTTGTTCCTCATCTCTTTGAACAAGAAGGAGATACCGAGGCGACTCCGGAGCTAGGATCAGCATGAAGAATTGTATCGTCGAGGGGACGATCGCGAGCCCAAGAAGCCACGGCCACCCTTCATCGCTCCCCAAGATCACATCAATACCCAAAATCTGTCCTAAGGTCATACCGAGCGCCACAGCCAATTGGTTAACAGTACCAAAGGCACCCCGCAATCTAATCGGCGCGATCTCTGACACGTAAGTCGGCGAAGCGGTCGTAGCAAATCCACAATTGATGCCAATCAGAAACCTGCCAATGATCAGCATCGCCAGTGACGTAGACATCTTGCTGAAGCCCATCAGAACAGCGCCAACCACTCCAAATGCCGCATTCACCATTAACGCGAATTTACGCCCACGAGTATCAGACACCCAACTGGCTAGAGGACAGCCAATCATTCCACCGATGGCGAAAATACTAACAATGACCCCGAACATGGTTTCCGAGCTGACCTCATAGTTCTCCTTGATGAAGTTCTCTATGAAGGACCTCGGCGCGTTGATGACTCCGGTGTTGAAGCCGAACTGAAGCATGCCCAGGACAGCTGCAAACACTGCAACCAGCAGTGGACCCGTCGTTCCTCCTGACATCTTGGCACGAGGCACCGGCTCTGAAATTATATAACCAAAATATTAACCCACATATCCCTACTAATATTATAAATGCGAAAGTAACTCTGTCTGTCTGTCTGTCTGTCTGTCTGTCTGTCTGCTACGCTTTCACGCCTAAACCACTGAACTGATTTTAATGAAATTCGGTACAGAGATAGAGTTGACCTTGAGAAAGAACATAGGATAGTTTTTATCCCAGACTTTTGAAAGGTTCTCTTGGAAACGCGATATAACCGAACTCCACGCGGCGAAGCTGCGGGCGGAAAGCTAGTAAATGTATAAATGCAGTGGGTTTTATACACATCTCTTATCAAAGCAATGACATGATCTTAACAATGTCAAGATTGTAAGCTATGTGCTACTCGTTATAAGTAGATAAATGATTTTATACAAAAATAATCAAACTTCCTTATATATTTATATTTACTTCATATAAAATGAAATCAATCGTTTAATGTAACCTGTATTTTTTGTCTCAATATTATTTTATTTGTGAATAATTTATGTTAATAACATATTTTCAGTATAAAAGTATTTTAAATGACAATGAAAGACGTCCAACCAAAACGAATTTTACTATTCACTACTAAACTACGTATTATGAATAATAATTAGTATTTATAACCAAAAACCTAGATCATTTTCGGTATTTGTTGTATTTTTACATAAAGCTACAGTAAGTAGAATAGTAGATAATGTAATAAATATCGTAAAAAAAGCAAAATTATTTTTTTCATATAGTAGCGAAAATCGTAAAGGTAAGTTATTTGATTTGGTAAGGACAGAATATAATATTACTCATATAATTTCCCAGAAACATAACATTTTATTAAATTAAGAAAAACACGAATTCATCATTATCACTCTCTGTTTACATAAACGTGAAGCATTTTTTTTTAATCGATTGTATACGCCAGAAATGCTTTACCACATATTGGAAGAGCTGATACTTTAACACTACTGGTCTGATAGTAACTAAAAATCACTTAGAACCGTCGCAAGAGAATTAATTCCCATGATGAAACCATATCGAAATCTTTAGACATTGATGTAAATAAGATTATTGGTTGTTTTAATAAATGTATGAAGACATATAAACAAATTGAGATTCTGATATAGTGGTTACGAAAGCAGTAGTCGTAGTAACATCAGTAGCAGTAGTTCAAGAAATAGTTAAGAAAGTTCGCGGGTTCGTTCCTTGTTAGGGCAAAGATCAGTCCCATAAACCATACTACATCTCTAGATAATTCTAATATTAAGATTAGGGAAATATATCACTATAATTTTTTTTCCCAACGACAAATACCTAGTTTTGATTAAATGGAGTGTTACCTAATTTACAAGTGTCAATATTTCTTGACAGAATAAGTTATGAATGTAAAACAATAGCAAATACGCAATTAACTTGATTGTCTCAGAAAACATTAAACATACAGAAAACATCGTTTAAAAGGTGTAACAATATATTTCGTTTAAATAATTACAGTGTTATATTCACAGTCATATTTTAAAAGAAATATTATATCGAGTAGTCTTCATAAAAACTTAATCGTTTGTCTTTAGTTCAAATCTTTATTCTTGTTTTTATTTTAAAAGCAGCCTATTAAAATATTTTCTCTCACTCTGTACGTATCGTCTATCTTATACTAGGATAGTCTTTAAATGTCTGAACTAATATTAATTGAGCTTTGCAGCTTGAAGCGTTAACAGGGAGAGGCGTAAAAAAATCTAAATATTTGCAAAACAGACATGAAATTTTTTCAATCTCACACATTAATTTGCTAAAACATTAAAATATACTAACAGAAAACTATACGGTTGTATTATTATTCTTAATAACAATTAGGTAAGCGTAAAGTCGTGGATATTAACTAGTGTCACAACTCAGATGGCATAACGCGAAACCAATTTTATATTTAAAAATCAATGCTTAATACCACAAAGAAAAAAAAATCTTTTTAACAATAATTTAAAATATTTTAACCCAATATGTAATGTAACTAATATTTTATATGAAACTTCTCTATATATATAACTATGAAAATTTAATTTATAACTCACGTTTGTACAGACGTTTCACTCCTATGAAACAATGTCCAATATCAATGAGAAGTAATAAATTGTCAAATGGTGATATTTTCTTATCAACACTGATAACAATCTGATGTTTTTCCTGATTATATAAAAACCATCAAAAGAATATGTTGATTGGAATCCTTTTACTGATATTTTTCATTATTTTTATATAATATGAATATTTTTTATTACATCTCTTTGTCATATCTATAATTAAATAGTTGAAAGTTGTTAGTAAAAAAATTGAATTCGTTATAGAAGAGTTATCTATAAAACGCTATATATATATGTATATAATATTTACTCTGAAATTACTTTCATCTGTTAAATAACATTATCAAAAAGAATATTTTATCAATAAATAATCTTTGTATTGTATAAAATTCAGTATTAGAAGCTATTTATTACTACTTTATCTGGGTCTTATCAAATTATTTAGACCTAATTAACATAACAGAGTAGGGTGACAATGATTTTAAATCATTAAAAGTACATAAAACTAAATAAATATATAGTCACTGCAGTCGGTTAAAACTTCGAAGATAAATTATGTTTTCTTTAATTTATTCCACATTATAAACGATACAATTAATTTATTTCTTATTTATTTTTTATTACAAATATAACATTTTTTCTTTCTTCTCTCATTTTTTATACAATAATTTCTGCTCTTGTTTATCAAAAAGGTTTCTGGCAGACATCAGTATTAAGAGATAAATTATCTTTAGTGCATGACTTTTATTTTTTATATATTGTTATTACTCATTTTGGTACATAAATAGATGATATAAAGCTGTAGACTCACTTGTGCACACAGACTTCGTACTTTAAGGTAAATATAACACAACTTGGTATAACTTAACCGGTTTAACTAGTTTTGTAAAGAAAACGTAATGTTCTTACAAATATTATGTTCGTATCAACTGTATTTCTATACAATATTAGTATGGTAATCAAGTTTTTGAAACGCGCACACTCATTCAAGACTTTACAGTCATTAGTTAATATTTACCGCAATGTAGCAGTTCACGTGACTCAGAACCACAATTGTTGTGTATAAATAACTAAATTATATACTATGAATGAAGTCACGTTGATAGAAAAGTTTTGTGGGTTTTAATAAAATATATATACATATATTGTTTCCTTATTCAAAAGAAGCTGGGTATAAAAATCTTTTCAAGTAAATTCAGTTACGATAATATCATTACATACATATCTATACTAATATTATAAAGCTGAAGAGTTTGTTTGTTTGAAAGCCTTAATCTCCGAAACTACTGGTTCGAATTGAATAATTCTTTTTGTGTTGGATAGTCCAGTTATCGAGGAAGGCTGTGGGCTATATAACATCACGCTACAACCAATACGAGCAAAGATATAGTGGTAAATGTGTAAAAAACGGGAGAAATTATTTCATCTTTGAAGCCTTCCGTTGCGTGCGCCGTGAAAACGGTTCAAGATACACAAAAAATATGTATTAAAGAATAATGGCTCTTTTAATGATCTAAAAAACAGTCCGCGACAGTATATGTCTATCTCTTAAGATTAACTCACAAAGACCGTTTTTATGGTACCTAATTTGGTAGAAATAATTTGTTTAAGTTGTATCAACATAGTAATATTAATCTTTATTCAAATAAACAAATTAATATGTTTTTGGTTAAGAGTACTTCATTGTGAATTAAAAAAAAACATAGGTTTTATCCTGAAAATTCTACGGGAACTCGATCATTCCGAAAACCCCGCAAGAACGGGAACTATGTGGGACGAACCAAAAATCTGCCGGAAGTCACTATTCCACGCGGACGAAGCCGCGGCAAAAGCTCGTATGTGTATATATGCGTGAGTATGTGTGTGTCTTTGTGTATGTGTGTGTAATTCTGTATAAGATCATTACATACATATGTGTGTATATGCGTGAGTATGTGTGTGTCTTTGTGTATGTGTGTGTGTGTGTGTAATTAATCCTGTAACCTAAGTATGTAAAATAACTGATTTAGGAAATCAGTTATAGTTAGAACGCATCCCTCATTTCAAAGAACTCTGCAAATATTTAGGCACCATTCATACATAATTGTGATTCTCATGAGACTGGAGCCTTAGCTTCCAATCAACTGACATAGCTTCAAGTATTCGTACTACCATTAAATACTACCGATAGAACTGTTCTTTTCTTTTCATATAAAGCAAAATATTATTTAAATCTATTACAAATGTACATACATTTACATTCTTCAAAACGTGGATAACTAATTTGAGAGATTGTTACTTTTGGACGATAAGATAAAATTATCACTCGAGATAGTCGTTTAATATTTGTACCGAGAACTCTAAAACTATGAGAAATAGTATTATTATGTAACAATAGTTTTTGCCTGCGACTTCGTCTGAGTTGGTTTCAGAATTAGAAATGTATATAACTGGTTGAGCGAATTCCTCCTTAAAGACATTTGATGAGAAAATTTTGGATTTGATCAACTTATTTTTTTTTCTTTAATGAAAAATATGCTATGTCCCTATGTTCTTTTCCTTGTTCTAAGCTATCTCTCCACCTATTTCCAGCCAAACCCGTACAGCCGTTCTTGAGTTATAAATAATAATGTAAAAAACACGAATTTCTTTTATATATAAACATATATCTCCTTGGTGCCTGATGTATATATTCGTTGGATTTAACCAACTTCAAATAAATGCTATATTGATGTTAACATATGTATGTCTGTCAAGTGATTATTACAAAACATTAACATGACTATAATTTGTCTCACACCAATATTCAAAAAATGCGTTGTTTTTTAATACTTCTTAATTATTTAATTAAATATTATTATAAACAAAAAATAAATATAAGATTAAAACTTCCTTACGATAATGATCACATGCTGTATCAACTAATTAAGATAATCATAAAATTCGATTT